CACGCGTGATTCGGCTCGCGCAATTTTTCACGAAAAATTTCCACGAATGAGATATGTATCGCGAGAGAGGAAAACAGCCTCGCGCGGTCGCTCAAAGTCGACCAGGAAATGATCGATCGTCTCGATACACTTACGTCAAAATACGTAACCACGTCCTTAAACTGCCTCGCCTTCGGAAAACGCGCGGACAGGATCGCCGCCTTCGCTCATCGCCGGCTAACCTTGCACTAAGCTTCATTTGATCCGTGTCGCGATGACAAAATAACTCGCGAGCAGACGCATTTTAGAGGCCCTCTCGGATTCATCAGGGCACGCGGCACTTATGACAGTGGCCGACAATTCTTTGCCACTTTACGGCGACCTATTAACGATGCCGGTTATGAAACTGGAAACGCCGGATTCATGTGATCCCCGGGATAGAAATACAAACACGCGTTATTTTATGTCAATGTAATAATTCTGTTTTCTATTTTTCATATTCCTTTCCTGTCTCCAGGATTTTTTTTAGAAATTATAAAGCTGCGTCTCTTATATTTAAATTCAAGAGAAAGACTAATCAAAATTAAGTACGCGCGAATTCTGAAATAATATAATAAACTTGCAATTATTGTCATTTTTTTTATATATCGTAAAAATGAAAAACAAATTAGAACAACGTAAGTACCTTTAATAATGTGTATATATACAGAGAAAAATGTATACTGTATTCAAGTAAATATTATTTATTTTAAGTATATCATAAGTTTGTATATCCGCAAATATATCATAAGTTCACCAGAAGCATTAAATTTAATTGAATATATTCTAAATTTTAGTAAGTGCAGTATTTTTGTCAAGAATATTAAATTAAAACAAAAATTTGGTTTGCTTACTACAGGAGTTGACGTAAAGTAAGTTTGATTTTTTCTTGATACAACTTTACAATATTCTTGAAGAGAACATAAATTTTTCTTTCGAGTATATGATAATGAGATTTTCTAACACTTGTGATGAGTATATTTTAAGATTATTATCAAGAATATATTCTTTGTTGAAGAAAACTATTACTTAAAAAAAGAAAAATAAACTGAGTAATCGCTTTTCTTGACAGTAGAATGATATTTTTCTCTGTGTAATAATCGAAATTTAAAAAATATTAATTTTTTAATATTAATTTATTATCTTTTAGATAACCAATTTCATGTACGTGACATTAATAATAAATATATTTTAAAAATCTCTCTCTCTCTCTCTCTCTCATATATTTTTTTTATATATTCTTTTTATAATAAAGAGTAGAGAAAGTAAAAAAGCAGTGTATAAAGACAATTTTTATTACTTTTTCCTCTTCTCTTCATATATTATCAAAGAATAAAGTAAATATAATGCCGAGAAAAAAATATATATATATATTTACTTAAATCATTTTAAAAACTTTTAAAATACTTAATTTTGAGACATTTTAAGATATTACACAACTTACTGTGTCATAGCGTCCTTACAATATATAATTTTTTTCATTATAGTAATTTTTATTATTATAGTAATTTTTTGTCATTATAGTAATTATCTTACATACAATGACACTCAAAAAATTTTATCAGCATTTAACCTCGACATTGAAAGCATTTTATTTTGATCGTTTTTTTCCTGTTACGATCGCGTAGCTAAGAGAGTAGACCTAGTGGCCCCGATATTGGAAGAGGCATCTATTGTGTGAAACTCACGAAGATGGAGATAACATAATGAAACTAACTAGCTTGGTCTGACCAATTAATTGACCCAAGCACGACATAACATTTAAAGTAGAGTCGTCTTCCCCTGTTCACGTAACTACATACTTGTACATAATGTGTAGGAGACTATATGAAAATTCATTGGTCATAAAGATTGCGAAGATCCGCGAATAAATTAAGCGACAAAATTAATAAATAAATTAAATATCACATACGACATCGATATTAGAACATAATTTTTATCTATCTCTCTTATTTTATAAAAGAAAAATTATCATTAAAAGATATATGTATAAACATTATATATAATATAAATTATATATAATTTATATACATATAATTTATTGGCGTATATTTATTTCTTCTTTCCTCCTTCTCCGAATGTGAGTCCTTGAGAAAATTGCGACGTACTTGTATTACGAATCCCATTTGCATCCCTCAACAAGCGCGTCTGATTATAAAGTAACAACTTTCACTGAATCTCAGGAGAAAGAACTATCATTACTCATCCCCAATCCTTGAGGATCAATTATATAACTGATTGTTTATATTTCTTAAACTCGTAAATCATATCTGAGATATTAACTTGTAATCGACTAACACTTTTTCGAATATCTTTCCCGTAAAAGGGACTAGCTTGGTCTGACCAATTAATTGACCCAAGTACGACATAACATTTAAAGTAGAGTCGTCTTCCTCTGTTCACGTAACTACATACTTGTACATAATGTGTAGGAGACTATATGAAAATTCATTGTTCATAAAGATTGCGAAGATCCGCGAATAAATTAGGCGACAAAATTAATAAATAAATTAAATATCACATACGACATCGATATTAAAACATAATTTTTATCTGTCTCTCTTATTTTATAAAAGAAAAATTATTATTAAAAGATATATGTATAAACGTTATATATAATATAAATTATATATAATTTATATACATATAATTTATTGACGTATATTTATTTCTCCTTTCCTCCTTCTCTGAATGTGAGTCTTTGAGAAAATTGAGACATACTTGTATTACGAATCCCATTTGCATCCCTCAACAAGCGCGTCTAATTATAAAGTAACAAGTTTCACTGAATCTCAGGAGGAAGAACTATCATTACTCATCCCCAATCCTTCAAGATCAATTATATAACTGATTGTTTATATTTCTTAAACTCGTAAATCATATCTGATATATTAACTTGTAATTGACTAACATTTTTTCGAATATCTTTCCTGTAAAAGCGACTAGCTTGACCAATTAATTGACCCAAGTACGACATAACATTTAAAGTAGAGTCGTCTTCCTCTGTTCACGTAACTACATACTTGTACATAATGTGTAGGAGACTATATGAAAATTCATTGTTCATAAAGATTGCGAAGATCCGCGAATAAATTAAGCGACAAAATTAATAAATAAATTAAATATCACATACGACATCGATATTAAAACATAATTTTTATCTGTCTCTCTTATTTTATAAAAGAAAAATTATTATTAAAAGATATATGTATAAACATTATATATAATATAAATTATATATAATTTATATACATATAATTTATTGGCGTATATTTATTTCTTCTTTCCTCCTTCTCCGAATGTGAGTCCTTGAGAAAATTGCGACGTACTTGTATTACGAATCCCATTTGCATCCCTCAACAAGCGCGTCTGATTATAAAGTAACAAGTTTCACTGAATCTCAGGAGGAAGAACTATCATTACTCATCCCCAATCCTTGAGGATCAATTATATAACTGATTGTTTATATTTCTTAAACTCGTAAATCATATCTGATATATTAACTTGTAATCGACTAACACTTTTTCGAATATCTTTCCCGTAAAAGCGACTAGCTTGGTCTGGCCAATTAATTGACCCAAGTACGATATAACATTTAAAGTAGAGTCGTCTTCCCCTGTTCACGTAACTACATACTTGTACATAATGTGTAGGAGACTATATGAAAATTCATTGGTCATAAAGATTGCGAAGATCCGCGAATAAATTAAGCGACAAAATTAATAAATAAATTAAATATCACATACGACATCGATATTAGAACATAATTTTTATCTATCTCTCTTATTTTATAAAAGAAAAATTATTATTAAAAGATATATGTATAAACATTATATATAATATAAATTATATATAATTTATATACATATAATTTATTGGCGTATATTTATTTCTCCTTTCCTCCTTCTCTGAATGTGAGTCCTTGAGAAAATTGCGACATACTTGTATTACGAATCCCATTTGCATCCCTCAACAAGCGCGTCTAATTATAAAGTAACAAGTTTCACTGAATCTCAGGAGGAGGAACTATCATTACTCATCCCCAATCCTTCAGGATCAATTATATAACTGATTGTTTATATTTCTTAAACTCGTAAATCATATCTGATATATTAACTTGTAATCGACTAACACTTTTTCGAATATCTTTCCCGTAAAAGCGACTAGCTTGGTCTGGCCAATTAATTGACCCAAGTACGATATAACATTTAAAGTAGAGTCGTCTTCCCCTGTTCACGTAACTACATACTTGTACATAATGTGTAGGAGACTATATGAAAATTCATTGTTCATAAAGATTGCGAAGATCCGCGAATAAATTAAGCGACAAAATTAATAAATAAATTAAATATCACATACGATATTAAAACATAATTTTTATCTGTCTCTCTTATTTTATAAAAGAAAAATTATCATTAAAAGATATATGTATAAACATTATATATAATATAAATTATATATAATTTATATACATATAATTTATTGGCGTATATTTATTTCTCCTTTCCTCCTTCTCCGAATGTGAGTCCGAATGTGAGATCCTTGAAATTTGAGAAAATTGCGACATACTTGTATTACGAATCTCATTTGCATCCCTCAATAAGCGCTGATTATAAAGTAACAAGTTTCACTGAATCTCAGGAGGAGGAACTATCATTCTTTCATTCCCAATCCTTCAAGATCAATTATATAACTGATTGTTTATATTTCTTAAACTCGTAAATCATATCTGATATATTAACTTGTAATCGACTAACACTTTTTCGAATATCTTTCCCGTAAAAGCGACATTTCTCATGCAAAAATTCAGTCGTTCGCGAACGCGAAAAATGTGACCGCGCGAATGAATTTCGCACGGTCGAGCTTCGGGCTACCCCGTACGGTCTGAGAGGGCGGAATCTGGCGGGTAGTATAAATTTTCTGAGGTTGCGCATCATGCTCGTCGGAGCCTGAAACTCGGCAGTGCCGAGTTTGCCCAAGTACGAAGCAGAGCGCAAGTGGTGTCGAAGGAAACCGGTGGTCCTCCTACTGTACCGCGCCGTATCCATTTGTACGACTTGACTTAGTTCCGTGTCGGCGCATCGAGTGCTTTTACGGGGGTTAGTGAAAGAGGGTGTGCGGGGTGAGTCGAAGATTCGCCGATACGATATATCGTCGCGAGATTACAATGTAATCCCGTTGTTGAAGACGTGGTAATGCAAACGATTCTTTGTTCAACTATTACTTGGACTTACACGTTCACCGTGTACATCTTAATGTGAGGAAATGTGTGGTAAAGTTTGACGAGTAGATATATAAAAGAGAATAATTATTACTGAGCAGATATATAAATGATTAATATATAGAATATCGTGATCTCTGATAACCTGAAATCGAGATTTTCTTAACGAATTTATTTTTTGCACGTTTCTATCGCATCTCTTTCTAATTAAACAAAGTAAAGCAAACTCCATTTCTTAACTCAAGAATATAATTTTGCTAACTTTTCGACTCTATAACGTTTTTTTTTTGCGAGAAGTTCTTCTTTTCCAATCGTTTATGACTCAGAACTTATTAATGATGCCTTGATATTTTTGCCAAGGAAAGATTATCTTTAAATTGGTCAGAAGATCTGCTTAAAAGTACATGGAATGTAGAATTTTAAGATAATCTGTATTTATTAATGTGATTATATATGTATATAGTGGTAAACATACAATGTTACAATCATGATCGTGATTCCTCGTGAAAAAATAAATCAAAGGTACAGAACAAAATTTTCTTATACGAGACTTCATTCTCGAGAAAATCGATTTTAACTATATGCCAATCATGTGTACTTTAAGATTCAATTTGTTTCTTTTATCTTTTGTCTCTCTACAAACTCTGTAGTACTTTTGCTTCATTTTTAGATGTATAAATTAAATATTGGCAATATATTTTGCTTCCAATCATATCTATATATAACTCTTATTTAACATCTTCGTGAAAATAATGATATGTATGAATCGTGATGATGTGTGCAGCAGCCGAGAATACATGTTTAAAATCGACTTTCTTGAAAATAAAGTGTCATATGAAAAATTTATTTTGCATTTTCGTTTTATTTTCACACGAGGAATTATCGCGGTTATGTCATCATTATTGTGATCAAAATATTTATATAATTTCTCTTTTTTATATATTTCTTAAATCCAATTTATTTAGATGGTTTTATGGATCAATAAATTCATAAAATTATCGGTCTTCATAAAATTATCATTGCTTTTCCATCTCTCGTATATAACATCAAATTTTCAGATCGGCCTAAATCCAGTGACATAGGCTTATAGTATCTTTTTTATATCTTTTTTAAATGCGATATCTTTTTTATATCTTTTTTATATCTTTTTTAAATGCGACATCTTTTATATATACAATTAAAAATTAACATCCGTATACTTAACTCAAATGTCTCTCTCCCTCTCTATTTTTGCAATATTTAGAAATTATAAAATGATATAAGAAACTATAAAATTAAATTATATAAAAAATATAATTCAACTACTTATTTTGTGAAAAAATGAAAAGAATCGTTGGGTGATATATTTTAAAAACTTTTTGCGTGTTAGTTCACGAGAATTAATGCTTCTACAAGAAAGAGAAAGAGAGAGAAAGAGAAATTAGATACACATATCGTATATTATCTTTTATTCACTTAATCCATTTTTACCCGACGTCCTTGCATATATAAAAAAGCATTTCTATTAATTAACCATTTATACATTTTTATTTCAAGTCTTCGAATTTAAAGTTTCAATTTTTAGAATAATAGATTTTTCTGAGAAAAAAAGGTATATTGATAAGATTGCCCTTATTTCGATACAATAAGAATCGTTTCCGGAAAAAGCTATGTGAGATAATAACCATGAAAAAGGGAAAGAAAGGAGGTCATATTTTATCTTTGCTCGTCTTTACCATGCATACTCTTTCGCTCGATTCTTATAAAACTCCTGATATCGAATGTGGCGTCGCGCCAAATAGATGATCTCCATATCTCGCTTCATTTAAATGTACCAAAATACCTCTGTTTTCACGTCAACTATACTCTCCACTTCCGCAAGGATTATAATTCACAAACACCGTTTCGAATCTCGTCGTGATATCACACAAGTTGCACGGACGTGTTTTACACGAGTGCCAGTCGTTTTTCACGTGGAAAAGGACAAAAAATATTACGTAGCACGATTTACTCAGCGATACGATGTTTTTCCAGAAAATTGAGAATTTTGAGCACCAATAATGTCCTTATCATTCTCAACGAAATTAATATTATGCGATATACAAAGAGAAAAATATGCATATCCGACGAATTTAAAGGGTTCCGTGATCCTGGTTGATTTAATAACAGATCTCGCAACACACACAAAATTAAAATTTATTTTTTCCCGAGGAAAATTGGCGTAATATTAGACAGACTTGTAATAACGTTCCGCTCGGGAGCTAAAGAAAAACGAAAGGCGATATGGCTTGAATTATTTGAAGAGTTTCTTCAGAAAAACGAGCTATACGTTGTTTAATCGCGGAATATAAATGAGAATATCCGAGAAGCGATCAACAATTGCGTGATTAATGTTCTAATGCAATTAGAAAGAATTCATTTATTTATCACGAGAAATATATATAAAATAATACTAAATGTGTCATAAAAATTTCAAAACGCAATAAAAAAAGAAAGGCTAAAAATAGAAATTTCAATTTGCGAAAATAAATAGTTCTGCGTTTTTATCGAATATAAATCGTGATACGTAAAAATTCTTCAAAACAAATATATAATTATTTCGTTAAAAAGATCTTTTTTAAAAAAGACTTATCGAAAAAATAAGAATATCATGTCAAATCGATATTCTCGAGATAACGATGCTTCGTAGAGGACTTTTCATCTCGCTTTCATTCAAAACTTGAATATTTGTGCCGAAGATGGCACGAAATGACTAATGAATCCTCCACCTCCAAGTGACGAAGGCAAACTTTCAGCATTATATGTCCTTGTCTCGTGAGACGAGGACAGAACAGATTTTGCGCTGAAAATTCGCAGTCAACATTAATACTCTTCCGTCCCTTATACCTTATATCTTCTAGTTGTCCACCTACACGCGCCAAATTAATGCTTTCGTGAATACGGAGCATTGATTTTACCGTCAAATTTGGTTACCAGAGTTCAGTTATTGGCACAATATTCACATTCGACTCGGTGTCTTCTCGCGTACGTAATCACGTTAAATGATCAACAATTTCGATTAAATCCGGATATCATAATCGCGCAATAATATAAGGATTAATACAATCACTCACTCGAGCTCAAATCAAATTTACCTCGACAGATTGAACAACGATTTTATGACATTTGCTATCTGCCACGGTAATACATGCAAGAAACTATGCATAAAATCACATGGGAAATATTTTTGTTACAAACACATTCTTATATATTTTTTCAAAAATTTTTTTACATAATCTATATATCACAAGTTAATTTTTTTTTTTTTATTTAAAAAAAATTTTTAAAAAATTAACTTGTGATATACAGATTATGTGTCTACACTTTAGAAAGAAAGAACAAATATATATAGATTGAAGATGGAGAATCAGAGATGTGGGTTAAAATATAAGACAAATTCTCTCCTTCCTTTCCCGCAATGTGTAGTTTATATTCGCTCGTGCACATTTAATGCATCTGCATTTGATGAATTAATGTAGTGAATTGTACCGTTGCAACTGGCACGTTGCACATCTCATGCAACCTTGTCTGTCACGTCCTTCACTATCGGAGAAACCATCGGACACCGAGCATTTTCCGAGCAATAATCAATAAATGTCGTCTTTCTATATGTCATATGTATCTCCGGTACCGAAACAATCCCGATTGTTAATTAGAAAAAAATTCCTTTTTTGCGAAACTTGTTGCTAGAAGATTAAATTTGATCAACGGAAATATAATAAATGACGAATATCGGGGAACGGAAAAATTCTCTATCAAAGCCAAAACAATCTATACATTCAATATTTCGACAAAAAGTCCTTAATTTTTAATATTATAAATATAAAATGATATTTCTCATATGATTTTTCTCTCGAGACTGTTCTTCTATAGTCATATAAATGATTTACGCGCTATCGAAAGAAATGAAATCTTTTCCAATCGCTCTCGAGCGGCCTTTCTGTTATATATCGAAAGTAATCAGATCGAACAGGTTCTAAATCGCGAGAGAGAGAGAAAGGGCACTTTCAAAAGATTCAATATCTACTTCGTCAAATAGTATTATTTTATTATTATATAATAATTCACGCAATCTGCAATTTTTCATCCAGGAATTTAATCTAAGGAATAAATTTTCTAAATTTCTGCCATTCGTCTAAGGGCAATCATTCTCTGTCAATGATACACAGATGTAATTAAAATGAAATCAAGTAATTATCGCTTGGATTTCCCGATAGGAAATATATATCACAAGTACATCGCCATTTGCCTGACCAAACTCATAAAGTTTTCTCATTTCATGAGTTCGTTAACATCGCGATTTAGCACCTCATCTTAAGCTAGATCTCCGTTTGACTTGCATGAATTATAATAACGTGAATTATATTAGTCTGACTTCGAAATTGAATTAAACTCGAAAAATATCAAATTATACAATTCCGTCTTAATTTTGACTCGCCGTATTTGCTGTTACTGTTAATAAATATGATTAAAACTCACCGAATTTTAGAGATGGTATGTGACTGGTACGCGAAATATGTCCACGTGCAATTCGGGTCAATAACGCTTAGGTAGTATACGTGTACATGCGTGTAAACACGTGTATGTGGCACACGGAATTCCGCGATTTTCAAGAAAGTATCGGAATAGCATCCAGATATACTCTATGCTCGCGTTTGCCAGTTATGTTTCGGCTTATCTACATTTCGAATGAATTCTGATCTTCGAAACTTGATTAAACTAGCTGGTTCACGCGCGTAATCACGCAACCCTCGCGTTATTCTTGCGAAACAAGTCGACCACCTGCGGCGAAGATACTCCAAATAGATCATAGCATCCCACGGAACGGCCGAGAAAGATTTATAAATGATTGTGAGAATTATCGTAAAGATCACCCACAAAGATACGAGCGTTTTCGTTTTGATACGATCAAGTTTTCGAATGAAAAGGGTACCCATTACGACGATAGAAATAAACTGTGGTATTGCAACTGCAAAACTGTAACCCTTTTCAGGAGAATTTTTATTTTTATCTCTTTGGAGTTAGAAGAAAAATTTCGAAAAATCACAGATTCCGATTGCACTCGGATGAAAAGTTCATACGTTATTTACAAGTTCCACACGATCTAGTAAAATGTTATTAAAACTCAAATATTTCAAAAAGATGCTATTAACAAAATAGTATACCCTTTGAAAGAGATAAAAAAATATACGTCAAATTCATAAAAAAGTATCCAAACTTTTGTGCAATACAAAAGTTAAAAAAAAAACGGAATTAAAACATGTACTTTTATATAAAAATGACATTTTTTTAAAATAAAAGTTTCACTCACTGATTGATGCGCAGCAACGGAGATAATTGTGTAGACTCTACGTTGATCTGTAACATGCAAATATAAGATTCCAATTATAGTAGCGCTAAAAATAATTCTTATTTCAAATATAAAGTATTATTATACGCATCGAATAAAAGATCTGATGCATACAATAATAAGCGAATATATAATGGGATAATAATTTCCGAAGAAAACCATTTTTCCAAATATAAACTTTTATGAGAGATATATAAAAGTCATATATAAAAGTCTCTTTCTCGAATTTCTGTTTAAGTCCTCCAAAATATATGTGCGCGATTAATAAATAATAATAATTTTTTTTTATATTTTTAATTTAAATAATAATTTTTTTTCTCTATAAAACACGCCTTACAACTGCGTTGGCTCTTTATGGCCTTTTACTATATTTTAGTTTAATTTGTTAATTTCGAGAGCCTTTTATTTTGTTTATTTTTTATTTTAATAAATAATAATATATAAGAGTAATAAATTATACTCACCCCAAGGTTACTCCGTCATCGCTCGATGCCTTCTAGGCTTCTGCCTCTCAGGTTGTTTTTCAGGCACTTGTATGTATTCAGTCGTGAAAATAATGTTAACGATCGCACGCGAATCATCCCCGACATGAACGCGGGATACTTTTCACAACACTCCCGAACTAATTAAACGACGCGCGATACTTTTCATGACACTCCGGAATTAATTAACCGACGCGCGATACTTTTCACGGCACTCCCGAATTAATTAAGACCAACCGTTCACGATGGAAACAGCGCGATATTTTACACGACACTCCCAAAATTGAAATTGATTGAAACGTGAGCATTCATTTTTGGAAATCGGATGTCTGATTTATTTTCTAATAAATCGCCACTTTTTGCGAATTAATATCCCGTTTTGCAGATCAATATCATAAGAAGAGCATTGATAAGAAATGCAAAAGGGGATATCAATGGATCTTTATAAATCCTAAAAAATCGTTTGGGTACTTGGCTTCTCCTTCGGGATAAATTCCTTCCGGGTACTAAGCCCTCCCACCAACGTCAAGGTGTACCCAAAATGGGAGGGTTTCATCCGTGAAAATAAATGTATAATATAGGTATGCTCTCCAAGGAACGAGCACCGATAAATTTACATCTCGTCGTTACAAAAAAATCTCTCTTATAATTATAAGATAAATGATGAAATATCACAAATTTTTAATCGTAGAATTAATTAATCGTACAGTCTGATAATCGCTAATAATTCGAGAAGAATAATCGCATTTCGAGGAGTTACATATCATGCTATATTTCCCGGCTCGAATTTCATCGTGCGAAACTTATCGAACGTCACAACAAATAGGATGTTGCTTCATTTTGCGGGTTTTCTCTCGTTATATCCTCGTCTAACAATAACAAGATCATTTCTTCTAACGTCAAAATAGGCAAATAACGGTTAGTCCCCATATTGCATCCATAACTTTCCCGACACCTTGGGAAGTTTTCAGATCGCGATCGAGGAAGATGGCTGAGGAGCAGCCGAGGTACAAATTGATCTACTTTAATGCACGGGGTCGTGCCGAGCATATTCGCTATATATTCGCCTACGCGGGCATCGACTATATCGACGAGAGAATCACTAATGATTGCTGGCCTGAGCTTAAAAAGTGTAAGTATAGAGAAAAAATTAAATGCAAAGAAATTAATATCGGCTAAATTAATAGCGACATGTGCAAATACAATTGGTTGGTACAATATGTAAATATGTTCAAATGCGAATCGACACTGCCTTTCAATCGTAAAATGTTGAATTCTATTTTTATCAATTATTATTGATTAATTGAATGAAAATTAAATACAAATTTCAAGACTTTATGATTGAAAAAAGAAGATACACGAGACTTGCGTTTAACAGTCATCATATCAACATATCAAGAATTAATCCTTAAATTATAACTGACTACAATTTACACCTACAACCAGACGTGCACAATAACACCGTAATCGATACATCGAAGACAAATTATTCTGTCTTTCTTCCCTTCATTGGCAGACGTGAACTTAAGCACGATCAGTCGATTGCTTTCTGTTGTTCTCAGCGATGCCTTATGGGATGCTGCCGGTTCTGGAAATCGATGACAAACCGATAGCGCAAAGCAACGCCGTGGCACGTTACCTGGCCCGTAAGCACAATCTTGCAGGTAGAGACGAGTGGGAATCGATGCTCTGCGACGTGCTGGTCGATACTCTGGGAGACCTGAAACAATGTAAGCGATACCGATATAATATTCGCGACGACTCCGGTAAAGAAAAGTTACTTGCGCGAGCCGAATCGATACTTTCCTTTCGACTGCGGATCCGCCTCGGGCCTTCCGAAGATCGTCCATGATGAAAGTTTACATCTCTCGCTGGGCAATTTCAGTTTCATCGGGCAAGTTCGCGCGAGCATCGATCAATAAGCGTTGTCGATGACGCCCGAGCTTTCCGTCTTGTTCCAATTTCCCGACGTCGAAAATGGTATCTTCCGCGGAAGGACTCGAGATAGGAAGAGGGGAAAAAAAAAAGGGCGCGCTATAAATCTCGGAAAACTCTGACGGGCGCGAAAGTTGTTCCGCTTTTCGCTCTCCTCTGAAAGACACGCGTCTCTCGCGTGACCTATTTCCAAAGCCGAGGTCATTGTATAATCGAGCGAGCGGTACCGTCCTGGAAAAGCTCCTCGCGAAATCCGACGCGCAGGTATATCGCATCGGATCTCGCCGTCAATGTAACATAATAACATCGCGGGGATCGATTAAATGCTTAATGAGACATTGTGAGCAATCGCTCGCTATCCTCTTCGTTTGAGTTAGCATTCGGATCAATCAGCGGCTTTTATGCATTATACGGGATTCGCGGAGATGTGCAATACATTTTAATCGCGATTTCAATGACACACTTGTTATATAAGAGACAGAGAGAGAATGAGGGAGAGAGAGAGAGAGACAGAGAAAGGAGAGAGAAAAAGTCGTTAAAGCTTGCGCATGATCTGTTTTTCAGTCATTTTTCAATATCGTACGGAGGAGGATCTTTTTAAGAAGGAGGAGAAGAAGGCGAAACTCCTGAAGGAAACAATACCGTTCTACCTGAATAAATTCGAACAAACGGTCGCCGAGAACGGTGGTTACGCGGTCGGTTCTACGGTAAAAAGAATCTCAAATCTCCCAATTAATTCACGCACACAGTATCTATTTTTTTTTATTAAATATAAAATAATCTCTAGGAATTAAAATGAGTTAAAGTCAAATATAATTTGTCATGCAAAAAATTCAATGTCCCTGTCACTAAAATGTCCAATAAAATGAAACGAAGGCATGGAGCATGAATGCATCGCGTTAAATTAAAAAACTTTCTATAAATCCGTGTGCAACAAGGTCGCATGATATTTTTCAGACTACGTGGGCGGACTTTGTGTTCACGGTGGCGTTGGAAAATTTCGAGAATATTTTCGGTGCGACCGCTTTAGAGAATTATCCGGCGTTACGTGGTTTGAAGAAACGAGTGCACGAAATTTCCGCGATCGCCGACTGGCTGGCCAGGCGACCCCATTCCGAGTTCTAAAACGTCGGAAACCGGAAGGTGGCATCGACATCACAAACAAGTATACATATCTGCGCATGTATGTAACTCTTGGTATCGCTGTGACAACGACAGAGTCTCAACATTTCGCGTGTCAGATCGATATTAAGGATGTTTTGTACCTATTTTCAAAATATTGAGAATTTAATGAAAATTGTACAGAATGTCCATACATATGTTTAGAATCTTCGGTACAATTTTTCAATCGATTCACTAAAGCGTTCACAAGTTATAAGGATTTTAATTTGCACCGAATTAACATGTGTTCTTATGGGAAACGTATAACCACGTTGATTAAAATGACAAAAACACATAGAAATAATATTCGGAATTTGTTTAAAAGTTTAGATACAGAGGAAATATTTGATCAAATAATATTATACAAGTACTGACTGGTTAAGAAGATATTAAATATAATTCAATGAAGTTAGCCATGTATCTGCCACAAGGCGAAATTCTCTGCCAAAAGTTAATCATTTCGATTAACAAAATTCGGAATATTTCAGTAAAAACGCAATAAATATTAAAAAATACATCTTTGCACTGCATCTAAGATCAAATTGTAATATTCCACACAATTTCTCATACTCAAAATACACCAAAAGTGGATATTCGTCAATATTGATTTTCAGCTACTTTTTGCTGGGATTGTACATACAAAACATCCTTAATCGCATCGCACTATATTCGACATCTTTATTAAAACTGTTCCTTTCACGCGCGGATGCATTCCTTTCTTTTGCTTTCTGTACCCGAAATAATGCTCCGAAAAAAATTTCAAGCTTGAATCTTAAATTGTTCAGATCTCCTTCGCGATTATTTTTCCTCTGCTTTAAAAATGTAACATTATACACTACTGTAGATAGAAAAGATTAATGTTATCTACATTGTATATTTTTCAGACATATAAAAACTGTACAATCTCCTTCGATATTTGAAGGGAAAAAAGAAATGAAAAAAAAAAAAAAAACACTTGTGTTTTTATCTCAGTTTAAGATGACTCGTTTATATTATGCAAATTAAAATCTTGTGCATGTTATTGGTCGGCTTTAGTCCGTACTTATTTTGCGTCACGAGAGAAAATTATACGAAAAATACGCAAAAGATTACTATCGGAATGGATGTCTAGATAAAGCTTCAATGTGTTCATTATATCGTGCATCGTGCACATGTGTATGAATGGTGCATCGCTACACACATAACTTACATGTTGCCGACATCGATAAAGCGTGGAGAGAGAAGATTAAGTGTTAGATAGATATATCTCTCGAACAGATCCCGCAGGTCTCGCAATGTAATCGATATCGCTTTTATGTTACACAGACTATACTGTTCCCTGTTTGTTTTGACGAAATGTATCTATCGGAATATATCGAGTATCATACAGGGTAATACTATGTATTAAATGTATGTAAAAGAAAGAGAGAAAAAAGTATATCGAACGACGCGCAAAGCGGGTCAATCTCTACAGAAAGAAGCATGTGTATCAAAAGAAATGTAGTCGATAAGGTTTAGTGTAATAAAAGTTTGAAGGCAATTTAATGTGATTCCTCATTTCTATTGATAAGAGCGTATATAAATATATATATATATATATATATATAGAGACTTTATGAATGTACTCTATAAGATCTCTAAGGTTTTTAAACGTGTTAATGAAAAAGAAAACACATGCTTCTCTAAAATGTATCTCACCGATCGTTAGAAAGAGGCCGCGAATACAAGAGAATAGACTTTCTACAATTGTGTGCTACAATAAAGATAATAAAGAGCTTCGTGCTTTCGTTGACGCTTCATCAATGACGTATTCGAATGCGATACGCAAACATAGTCAATTGTAATTACGGTACACGATAAACGATAAACAATATCTTTTTTTAGATGAGAGAATATTGTAATAAGCGTGAATGCATGTACAATATTATATGTAATGTTAACGCATTAAGGGTATCCAGGTTACGTAAATGTTACTGTGGTTACAGAAGACGCTACTGACTGATAATAATACTATAATAAAAGAACAAACGTGTATATTTTGTTATTAATCATGTCCCACAAAGTTACACGTACGCTTAATTATTTTGATCAGTCATACATAAAATACGTTTGAATTAATTAACATTCTAAGCTTCTCTCCCAGGTAGAACATGAAACTCATAATGACATCATTATGACGTTATCATGATTTTATTTATCGCTTAAAAGTTACCTAAACAAAAATTATTAAAAAATGAGTTAAAGATGACAAAAGGAATAATAAATTTTTAAGTTCAATAATCGCATTATATAATTTTAAAAAGATTGTTGCTTAAATATAATTAAAATATACATGAATAATTAAATATACATGAATAATTAAATATAAAAAATGATATTATTATGATTGATTCTTAAGATTTCATATGAGAAGTATATATATTCTTCAACAGAGTTCGCTAAAATTGTTTAATATCAAAAATAAGTCACCAAAACATTGCCAAAAGTATATCAAATGAGATCATTATGATTTTTCTAAAATGACTTTTAGATGACGTCATAATGATGTCATTATGAGTTTCATGTTCTACCTGGGCTCTTATAATTAAAGTATCCTCCCTATAAGCACACAATATTCTTAGGATATTCTATAAATATTATTAACTGTTAATAATATTTATACAATACTTTAGGAATATTGTGTCTTATAGGGTTGTCGTGAAATTTCGATCGACTATAATTATCAATTAAAGTATCAAAGAACGTTATATATTATTAACATAAACGTCACATCTTCTAATTAATTTGAGTACAATTATAATTTATCGCTGCTCATAAATATTTACAATTAATAACAGGTTTTCTTGATATATACCTTGCCTCTTGACACTCAGGCGCCATGCACTTTCTCCTTCTTTTTGAACAATCGAAGCGAGTTGAATGTCGATAAGTCGCAAGAATCGGAATCATATGGTCGATCACACCACGAAATTACACTCGATGTTAGGTTATCTTCACGTTCCTGGTTTTATTCGTGTTTAAGAGCGTCTGATGCAGCTGGCAATTTCGTATTGAAAAAAAAGTCACAGGGAAGCTTCGTCGATCGAGACGTCCCGTACGATTGATTGGTGACTGACGTCGAATCAGGAGTCACCTCGCCAAGGCTGTAATAAGGAAGTATGGCTGCGACAGCGAAGACTATACTGCCCGAGGAGAGCGAGCTGAACGTTCAGGAGCTGAATGTCAGCTGGCCGGTCCTCCAGACCGCGTCTGTTTACATCGGCAAGGCCTGCGAGTGGTACAACAATGTGAGTTACCTGACGATCGAATCTCGAGATGATACCGTCGAAATGTACTTACGGTTATCCGCGTCTTTAGCCATCTCTCCGAAGGCTTACATAATGTGTTCCAAGTCCTCTGTAGTTGCGTTTGACATGTAAATAATAATTTCATGTTTCGTACGATTCCTTTTTTCTCTTTGAAACAACTTCTGTGGTTGCTAGTTTCAATACAATTCTGGAAATAAAATAATTTATAAGTAAATTAATTTCAATTTAATTATATACAATTGAATTTAATATTATGCACGATACACAAGATAAATTATTCTGAATGTATAAAGAATTATATCTTATTACAAATATTTAATTTCTGAAATTATAGAATTAGTTTTGTAATTTGAAATGTATCTCAAAAATATATATTCGATTGAGTCATCTTAGTTATGATAAATTTATTTCTTCTTCAGGAATTTATGTTATGTAGAGAAGAAGAAGGCGACCCACGTCGTTGCCTCGATGAGGGAAAACACGTGACTGCTTGTGCAATGGATGTTCTGAAAAAAATGAAGAAACACTGCCTGGAAGATTTTAATGCATACATGTACTGTCTCGAGAGATCATCAGGAACGCTAGATCTTAATAAGTACGTTTTATATCCCATTATCTGTTGTAAAAAGAAGAAAGTAAGTTAAATCTCTAGTCACAATAATGTAACAACATAAATGTCACTTAGATGTCGAAAAACACAAGCTGCTTTGGATGATTGTGTTAAGAATAATATGAATATAGAACGTCCACCTTTTGGATACTTTTGCGAAGCCAAAGTACACAATACATCGAGACCACGACCACCGCCAAGGGATGAGCCTATAATATTTCCAGATCCAACTCCTGGACTATCACAAGACGTACCACGTGAGAAAGCGAAATATCATAATCGCTTTTGGTATAAATCTTAAGTCTCTTGAAAAATATCATTAGTACTTTGGTCACGCTGCAAAAATTATATTCGCAACATTTATCAAATAATTAAATAATTATTAGGGAATCGAGCATATGCAATTTGTAGTATGCTTCCGAATATTGTAGGCACGTTTGTTTCATACAAAAATGAATAGAACTTGCTATTGTATATTATCTTGTGAATATAAATTTGTAACAACAAAGTGATAAGTCGCTTAATTATTGTTGTTAAAACTTGTACAAATATAAATATAGAGCAATATAATATTTTTACTTGTATCTTCAATTATATGTATAAACATTTAATCATAGAAAATTAATATAAAATTACCCATATATTAAAATATAAATATATTATTAAATTTATACTAATATATTCTAAAAAATACTTTTGCATCTAGTCGAGTTTTAATTGTATATATAAGACTCAGTTTAAATTAAGTTAAAGCAGATTATATAGGGAACAAAATGATGGAATATATAGTTCATGGATAACAGGATAAGAAAGATAAGAGAAATTTAATTTGATCGAGTTATTCAATAAAATTATTTCATTTGTTTTATGTCGCATATCAACTTTATAACAAAACTAATTGTCAAACTGAACAAAAATATATCAACATATTTTTGTTTTGGAAGATACCTAGTAATTAATGAAAACAGTATTGCTTTATCAATATTACTACAGCATTTTATATACATGAAACATGATGAATATCATTAACAATAATTTTTTTTAATATATTCATAATTCTTTCTCAGTCATTCAAATCTATTCCAAGAAACATGGATATAATTTTTGTAAAGCGCATACATATATCTTTAAAATATATGTCGCAAAAAAGATCATATTTAAAACCAGTCACATTCAAAAAATGTAATACCGGTTTTAATTATGCAAAATATATAATAGTATGTCACATAAATATTTCATTTTCACTTAATTAACCAATATTCTTAATCGAATATCAAGGAAGAAATGCATTCTTATGCAATCTACAAGTCCATGTAAAGCATTATTATGTGTTAGCTCCATGTAATATCGTAACCACTCCAGTTTGCACTCGGTGCTAAATGTACACGTCTTCCATTATAGAAAAACGTCACCACACCGCGATATCCGGATCTAGGTACGCCGCTCTGTAATATCGTGTTACAGAATCTCGAGTATTACTTATATGAAATACAAATCCTAATTAAAAAGATACATTACCCTGAAATCATCCATTAAACCAAGCAGTTTGGTGGTATTTTTAAACGATTGACGAGTATAATATGGTATCCGTACCGGACCGGGAGCAACTATATTCCCACTCTTTAATTCTGTATAACTAACCACTGTTGATTGGTATACTTGGTTGACGAAAGCTATATCATAATTATCCTGTGGAAATTATATAATAATTTATATGTATTTTATTTTTATTCAACATATACTTGCTAATCTAATATTCGCTTCCTTACTTTTAGCAAGTAGGATAGATTCATCTTGGTGAAAGGCACAAATTGTTCATTCAGCTTGATGTATTTTAAATGTTTTTCAAAGAATAAGCCACTAGAAATAAAACAAATTTTTTACTGCTTGTATTGATCAAATTATGCAATTGTATTGATTAAATTATATTAGTCTCAAATTATGAAATTAGTATATCTGCCTAACAGTGCTTTGTTTTAATGTAAATATAAATATATAAAGAAAATAAAAAAATAGATAATTACTTGCTAACTCCAAGTTTACCAAATGTCCTGGTTCGCGATATTTCCGGGCGGATGCAAGCTCTATTCTTTCGCTGTTCAGGTTGCCTTATCCAATCATCCCAATATCTATATAAATAAAAAATATATTATGAGGGTGAGTATTATCAAGAGTAAATCGATAAATAATTAGACCATATATATATAATAAATAAAAATATATAAATATACGATAAAATTACTCACGACTTTGGCCATTTTGATGCAAGCTCCAACCATAAATCGCGTGTAAGCATCCAACCTAAGCCAGGAAAGAAATCTGTCCTGTAAAGTAAATGTGGCGCATGCTCGTCCACCAAGCCGGCTTTACCATTATCATTCCACGCTGACACACACCATAGAGAGCTATCATTTACTAATAGGGGATAAGTCCCCAGGAAGTACTCGTAAAAGTCTGGAGCAATGTCCAAATCATCTACATAAAAATCAAAAGAGTAAATTAATCCCATCTAGATGTTATCTTGCAGAAATATATATCTTGTTTGTTAGATAAAATACTTGATTAGATTTTACGTTGATAAAGATTTAATTATTAATCATACCTTCAACAATAATTGCAGTACTATATCCAAGCTTTACAAATACTTGATTCAACGCCCATTTATAGTGACGTGCGATTTTAAAGTAGCCTCTAAATTTCTTTTCTTTAGGTGGTATTTCAATATCTGATTGATCAGGTTGCTGAAATAAGGATAATAATATTAATTCATAGGAGAATATAAATTAAAATATATGCACTGAAAGAAAATAAAAAGTTTTTATATAACACAAATATAATAATATTAAATGATATATATACCTTTATATGTAATAACTGATTTCCATATTTTGCTATGACATCAGCAGTTTGTCGATGATCACAGTCCTGCGATACAATTATTGGGAATTGTTCTTTACTAGGTCTTAATCTTATTAATTGCTCTAAACAGCGGTCTACTGTAACACGATTACAAGAAACAACCAAAATAGCTATTATTGGAGATCCATCAGGTAGTTTTTGCTTCAGAGTAGTGCTCTCGTGATTTGTCTCAGTCTATTGAAAAAAAAATTTGAGAATCAGATATTTGCAAGATCATATATTTATGAATTGTAATTATATTTGGCAAATAATTGAAAAACAAAATAATTTTGTAAAATTATTATATAGATAGATAAATTATATATATTACAGATATATAAGTATCTTGTGTTGGTTTCTGTTCACTTTTAGATTTTCTCTGATCAATGTTATTCTCAATCTTTTGCAATAAGACGCTTTCAAATTTATTTTCATGTTTTTTATTCTTATTTGTCTCAATCTCATCTATTGATACATGGGCAGCATTTGATTTTTCATATTCTTCTAAAACAACAAATCGTGTATTTTTTATCTGTCTTTTTTATGATAGCATTTTTATGATAGAGTATAATTTTATTTAAATTGATCTTACTCTTACGACGTTTATTCTCAATTCCTTTAAGAAGCTCCTTATTTATAATTATCTGTTGTTTTACTTGTTTTTCTAATCTGCTAATTTGATTTGACAGTTTATCCTAAGAACATAAGGGCAAAGATATATATAGTTATTATTATATATTTTTTTACGATAGATTGTAATAACATCATAATATCTTTTTCATTTACCTTATCCTGATCCTTGCCAACTGATTGCTGATCCAAAAATAAAAAGTATGTAGCCACAGCCCATAAGACAAGGGACCCAAAAATTATACTGATTGATCTATTCCGCATGACAAAACCAAGGGTCACCTTAGCTGTAACATCAAAAGTTGGATTACAAAGCAAAGAAAAATAGAAAACAAATAAAAATAACAAAGTAAACATATACTAACAATGATTCCACACGCTGCAGTGCACGTCAGTACATATTTATTATACATGGATCCCTAATAACGTCCTCAATTTTATTTCTTCTGTAAAGTAACAACTTATCATGCATCTTATATCACATCTCGATACTCTACAGTTGACAATATTGACACAAGTGTTACTACATCTAAGTGTTACTTACATGTATTGATTATATCATATCCAAAACTGAAATCATAAATCACAGGGAACTATCGTACTCCATGTCGCTCAAAGAAAATGAGCTGTTGTAAAATGTATCATAGGAAAAAACGAGATGCATCATTCACGTTTCTCACGTGGACAAAGACAAAGAATGTGCGTTACGTGAGGGGAAAGACAGAACGAGATTTCGCTTCACATACATGTATGGGTCATTCAACGATCATCATTAACGATACACGACATCGCTGAAAAAATAAAAACCGATATCGTAACAAAGATGAATATTGAGAAATTTTGCGAGGCACACGATCAATCACGTGGCGATTAATGACATTTTGCAACGGGGGTGACAAGGTTACTTACCGTTATAAATACTAGAAGCGATACGGAACGTTATACTCCAACTAACTTAATTCACTATTATGTGTTTAATAATGTTTAATTAATTCAATTACGCGAACTCGTGACGACTCATCTCTCGAGTGCCCGCAGCCGTTCGAATCGGAATGTTGAGTGATAAACGCGGCTCTGCGCTCTACCTCTGCGTTGTGACAAGTTCCAGACTCGGTATCTGTCAAGCCGAAGCTCTATCTCTGACAAGGAGACCCGTGTCTTCTATTGCGGCTGTGTCAGCGATTCGCGAAAATGCGCTTTTGCGTGGCTGCAGGATAGAATAACGTCCTGTATCATCCTTTACCGCAAAATTGCTCGCCGTTATCCGATATGATTGCGATATGCCGATACGACAGCCTGCGCAATTGACAAGCGCGCGATTCAACGCTAAGCGCGCCACCGATATCAATTGATATCAATTGGCGGATTGAGGATTGGCTCAGGATTTGCTTAGACTCTTCGTTTCTCCCTTCAAGGTGCAAATATAGCTACTAATCTTATTTATTTTGTGAGATTATTAGCTAAGAATAAAGTTTAGAAATGACACTTGAAAATATAAAAATTGCTCCTTTCATGAAAATCCATCATTTTTTCATCCGAAAAAATTCTCTCGAGTAACTACTTCTGGAAATCCTCGATTGCACATTACGTTATATCATTTAATTTATAATCAGCTGAGGCGCGAGAAACAGGAGTCTGAAGGCGAGATAAAATGTCGGTTTGAAATAGGATTGAAAAGAAGTCGCCCGAGACCATCGTAAATTCGTACTCCGTTATCAGCTGTCATATCAGTTTTATCGACGCACGGTTGTAACCGCGGTCGCATCAGTCTCTCAAGTTCACCACCGTCGCGTTCGTATCGTTGTTTTTGTTATATTTATCAGCGGTCATCTCTCTCCAGGCGTATCGTATCGCAGTTGAGCGCAAGTACGCCTCGATACGTGTCGTCTGCGTCGTGTATTTTTGACAGCACGTCTCGACGGTCAATTGATGGTCATCGACGTGTCGTGACGTATCTGACATTTTTTTCCTCCGGGAATAGAAGACGCGGAAGGAAGAATAGAAGGAGGAGGAAGGTCAGAGAGGGACTCAGATATTAACCGTAAACAAGATTCGCGACATGAGAGAGATGCGATAGCGAAAATGTATTGTACGACGCTCGGGAGATGGTAACGGAACCAAGTGTCAAGCTTTCTCGGAGCTTGACTCTTGTTAATTTTCGCGATAACGTAACAAGTATCCGGCCGCCGGGACTGACAGCTCTTTCTTGACAGCTTTTGCAGGAGGGACGCGGTGAGGGCCCTGAGCACCGGCGAAATTTCCACGGCGTTGAGGCCGTTTTACTTCACCGTTCATCCCGACCTCTTCGGCCAGTATCCCACGCAAAGGGTGAGCATTTCGAGATAGCTACTTTAAGTACATCTCGCACCGAAGTCCTTTACATCTTCTTCTCAATAGGTAGGATCGAGTCAGCTTTAGCTCTGAGTTCTCTTTGTCTCCTTTCTCTTGCTTCTCTTTTTGTTTTTTACCAAGTTCTGAATACACATTTGTCATCTAGAATGTAAAAAACAATGACTCGTGTAAAAACAATGACTCTCTTTAAGGTAAATGAAAGTGAGAGGAAAAAAAGCAAATGCAATTAAAACTGAATATTAATCGTGTGTTGTTTGTGCACTTTTATCTTGTTTTTTCTCACGCGCGTCTATCTCATTTCGAATGCGTCAAGTATACATGGTGTACGCGAATCGTCGATTGGTCTGCGAACGAGTCAGCAGTTAACGTGGCGTGACACAACGCACGATATTATTTTTAGACACCCGAGGAAATGATTTCATTTACGACGGAATGTTTTTTCATCTTTGCACGCGTGCACACGTGCGCGCGCAAGGTTACTCGAATATATTTTTTCTTACCATCGCACACATTGACAATCAGCTGTTTTCTTATCACGTTATCAATGAGACGATCGCGTGAACAGAGCCGTGCTGAGATACCACGTGAGCTACGTCGATGATATTTCATATCTACTCTGTGTCTGAAAAAAAAAAGAATAAAAATATTAGGTTGAAACAACTAATGTATTTTTCTTAAATATTCTCGTAGAAATTTTTTAATATGTATAATTATTATTAAATTTGTCTAAAGGTCAAGGACATCGAATTAACACCAAATTTTCTAGCATGTATTGAGAATTTGACAGAATTTTAACATTGGAGTATATATATATTTTTTATAGTAAAATAAGAAAATTATAATAAATATAATAAAATAAATCACGCATGTATAATTAAGTGTTAACGTATTTATCGTAATTATGATTTATTATAATTAAATGTATAATTTCGAATAACGTTAAAAAAAACATATGTAACATTTAAAAATAATAAAATAAAATTATACGACTTATTTTATTACATTTACTATAATTTTATTTTATTATTTTTAAATGTTATATAATTATATCGTTATAATGTTATATAATTATAAAATGTTATAAATGTTATAATTATTAAATGTTATATAATTATATCGTTATAATGTTATATAATTATGTTATATTATTTATATCTATGTTACACACTTAATGGTGATAAATACGTTTTCCTCTGTATACATGTAATTAAAATGCGACTACGGTTTGCGTATAAATAACATGAACCATAATGGTTTAATCCATACGGATATTATAATTACAGCAATTAACAAAAGATATGTTATCTTTGATTAGTCACTTTTGATTATCTATAATTCGAAACAATTCTATTTATGATTTCATGTATCGCGTGACGTGATAAAAACACATTTGAAAAAGTAAGATAAATGTACAAAATGCAATCATCAAGATACTCCCATATTGGAATAATGCAACGCGTAAAATTATATAAATAAATTTCTGTTTTAAATTATAAATCTCACATTCTCTCTCTCAAAGTGGATTTTAAATATAAACTTTAAAAGAGAGAAAAAAGCTAAATTTAAGATGGGAAATATTCTAACATAAATATTGTTTTTTCGAGAAAATTTTTAAAATAGTAAATTTAAAGATGAATTAAAAATACATTCTCTTTTTAATTTCAGCTTTCTATTTTTATATTTTTAAAATATTTCTAAAATGTCTAATGAGTTTTATCATACAGTGTATTTTACGTTTTTTTCCAAATGAGCCTCTTGAGAATATAGACATTTTTTTCTCTTCAACCCTGATAAAAATATTTATTTATACAAACAGAGATATAAGATCTACCAAGAATTCTGGCACTTCTAGCATGATAAAGGATAGAAAAATACATTCTGAAAGATAACATGCCTGTACTTGATTATTGAAATGATACTTATCATTACTCTATATTTATTTACTCATAATCAATTAATATTCCATTGCTATATTTGAGCAATGTTAAATAACATTTATATAGTCCATAGATTATTTAAATATTAAAATCTCCCTTTTTAATAATTTTTAATATTTACAAACTTAAATGTCTACAATATAACATTACGAGGGTCGTTTGATAAGTTTGGTAAAAAATAAAACACGTTATTTTTAAAAAAATTTATGTAATTTCTTAATATAGTCTCCATCGAGGTCTATACACTTAGTCCATCAAATTTCCAATTTTTAATACCTTCGGAAAAATAGGCTGATGAGGCATCATCAAATGGATTGTGACGCAATTTCACGAAAATTTACCAAACTTATCAAACGACCCACGTATATACATTGTATATATTTTTATTAATTATAATATGCTTTTTACAGACAGTGAATGAAAACTCCCTGAAACAATTGAGTTCAATCTTAGAAACTCTACAACAGAAGCAACCTATACGACCAACTGTCTTACCTTTTTACTTGCGCTCTAAAAATGAGAAAGAAGTGAAAGCTGGTAAATTTACACTTGTGAAAATACAATTGAAAGAAAAAGATTTAAGACAAGCAATACTATCTATTTTAAAAACATGCGATCTACCTACGACATTTGTCGATAAAATCGAGGAACAGAAGCCTCCTGTCACAAAGTACAAATCTAAATTTTGGCAACAAAGACGTTATGGAGAAAGGATCGATTTTTCAGAATTGGAAGATGATCCCATTTATGCATCGATAATCATGAAACAAAAGATTAATGCAGAACCAGATACATTAAAGTATGTACAACGTTAAAATAATATCAATTATTGTTAATAATATTTTTTGTTTTTTTATTAGGGCTTATTTGGATAAACACATCAATGAGGTGCATGTAAAGTTGGAGGCATGCAGATCAACGAGAGAGGAAGTGGAGAAATTGGAAAAAATATTGTGCAAAATTTTAGGTTTAAAGGATATTATCTGGGACTGCGGGTGGAATATCGCTCATTATCGTGGTTGTTTATTAGCTTTCCAGGCTTTAGCAGAGCATCATCCAGAATCCATGGAAGTATTAAGAAATCGGACTCTCGTATTCGCAAATGACACTGGTATCAGTTTAGAAGGCAATGTTATGCTAAATTCTGGAGAAGTCAGGCACAATTGGCTCGACGTAAGTTGCAAAATTATTTAATTCTAGAAAAAATTTGCCTTCGTATGTATTAACTCTTTTGATTTTCGTAGTTAATAAAAAACGTAGAAAAACATGATGCTGTATTAATGAAATTGCCGGCATTTGAGAAGGCAGTGTCCCAAGTACTCCTCGATATTAAAGTCGGTCGACGGTGCGTAATACATCATATTATTTGAGTTATGTTTAGCTCAGAGTGCTCTATATGTGCAGGAAATTCATGCCTAAAGTAATGGTCGGCCAGTATGAACGACAACTACGACAATTCACAACTACACTCTCAGATTATCGTGGCAAGAGAAAGTATCCGAATTCTTGGCCGGCCAGTCTATCAGCCTATGAAATTGTCATCGAAGCGTTAGTATTATTATATAAATATCTGTTTGTAAACAGCTGTTCCATCTCGTATACACAAATATTTCTTTATAAATGTGTTTGATGATTCTGTGTAGTGAAGCAGGTCCATTGATGTTATCGCCGACTGGACAATTCATCGTACCATCGTCGTGTCCAAGCTTCCTTTTAGTGAATTTCATTACTGAAAATTTAGAAGAGGCTACAAAAAGATTACATCATTATAATAAGTAAGAAATTTCATAAAATATATAACATACATTTTGATTGAATTTAGATTAGTGTAAATGTTGTTATTACTTATATAAATATATATATCTGTTGCAGCATAAAACATGTAGAACGAGAACTTCATCAAAAGACTATCAAAGAATTAGGTTTAACCACACTCAACAAAGATGATAGCATCACACCAGATCTGATGATACAATGTTGTGAGCGACTGCTTTTACATAAAAAAAATCTAGCACCATCTCTTGAAGGTGTTATGCTTTGGGTTACTCATTATTATTCTGTTATGAGTGACGGTGTTCTTTGCGTGCCATGGGATTGGAAGTTTAAAAAATAAAATTCATTAACACGATTATTATTAAGCTATAATAAAATATTAACGTATTGTATCGTGAATTGTGACAATGTGGATATTTTATAAGTTTCGAGAGATTTACAGAACACATAAATGATACAATTACAAGATTCTAGCGATTTAGAGCAAATAATTATTTGTATACATAGATGAACTACTACAGTTTATATTATAATAGTTAATGCCATTAGAGTCAATATTATTATGTAATAGTTATTGACATGTTTATTAAACAACAATTTAAATGTAAACTCTTGCTGAAACTATTATACTATTCTTATTAATGTCATGTATTTAATTTCATAAGAATCAGTGGATCCTATGAGAACATCTGTTAAATATGCAACTAAAAAGAAAATGAAAATGATGAAATTGTATATTTTTAACGTTAAAAGTGAAGCTAGTCTTGATATCCTTTGCAAAAGGCTTAGTTTGTATAATTCAGATATTCGATGCTGCATATGTTGTACAAGAGAATAAGGTACACTTATTCTTTCTCTATATATTTTTTTAACAGATTTAATTCTATTGATTTGTGGTTTAAAAAGTATGTAATTTATGAACTAAGACTAAAGAATAAAAAATCACAAATTTCGCAATAAGCGATTCTTGCTCTTCTTTGAAAACGAGTCGTATTGTAGATTTACTTTGTATTCTAAGATAATTGTTTTTTTTTTTCAAATTGGAAAATTCTCTTCCCCTTACACATTTAACAAACACCAATATATTCTTGGAACTCTCTTTGTCTTTTTAAAAATTAAAATTTTCGTAATTTGAACTTGAATTTGAAACTCTTCGAATTCAATTTTTTTGTTATCTTTATACTTTAAAGTTTAAATTTCGTACTTTACAAAATAACGTCAACGATTAAATTATAAGATAAATCGCGATTTAAAATTCCCGAGAAAACGCAACGAATAAATAAATCGATAATATTTAAAATATTCGATTGCACATAATTTTTATAATATAATAATTGAAGTCATCAGATACGCGAGTGACATATCGGTAATATCCGATAAAAAGAGGAGCGATCTTAAAAATGAAGAACGATTAACATCTTGTTTCTACATCATTTCGCAAGAACAATCTGCGAAAAAAAGTTAAGTGACATATCGGTAATATCCGATAAAAAGAGGAGCGATCTTAAAAATGAAGAACGATTAACATCTTGTTTCTACATCAGATTTCGCAAGAACAATCTGCGAAAAAAAGTTAAGTGATCCATTGAACGTCGGGAACTTCACTGTAGGAGGGAACGGGATCTTCCAGACTATTCCCGATAGCAATGATTTCAGTAATATATCAATGATGAAACAATTGTCCCTCGTCATTGTCTTTAATTCACGAAATTGATATGTATGTCAGAAAACATGTTCTTTCATTATTAAGAAATATATTTTTTTATTGAAAATTAAATGGATATAACGATTTTTTTATAAAAATGTGATTACGAACGATTATATTTATAAATAATAAAATACAGGGCGCTTCCGCAACATACAGATCGGTAAATCGGGTTGCCTATCTGACGATCAGTCTTCTTTTACCTCGCATAATTGAAAAATAATAAAATCAGATGATCGATCATGTAATTTTTTTTCGTGAAAAGTGAAAAAATTCCTTGATTGATACCTTGAATGCAAATCCGTAGGAAATGAGGAAAGTGAAATCAGCTTTTAACATTGATATAATGTAATTGTAATATTTAATAACATAAATAACATTATATTTAATAACATAAATAACTTAAATAACATTAATAACATAAAATGACACAATTGAAATATAATAACACAGATAAAATATAATGAATTTAAACAAAAAACTTTTTTTAATGTTCACAATATATGCTCAATGTAACCGCCATTCTTTTCTAAACATAAAGCAATCCTCCGCATAAAATTTTTCCTTACTCTCCGAATTATCGGAGGAGTGATTTTCGCACACGTGTTTCGAATTTTATTTTTAAGATCTTCTTTATATAATGTTATTTATATTATTAAATATTACAATTACACTATATCAATGTTAAAAGCTAATTTCACTTTCCTCATTCCCTACGGATTTGCATTCAAGGAATTTTTTCACTTTTCATGAAAAAAAATTACATGATCGATCATCTGATTTTATTATTTTTCAATTATGCGAGGTCGGTAAAAGAAGACCGATCGTCAGATAGGCAACCCGACTTACTGATCTATATGTTGCGGAAGCACCCTGTACATGCATCATTAGTTTGTATTAAATGTGCGAACACAATAATTTGGGGTACCGTTCGCGCGCGCGAGACGAATCGAACTCGATATCAGCAAGATTTAAAAAATTTCAATTCGAATAATGTGCAAAATAAAATTAATCAAATAATTTTAAATAATTAACTCTAGATTAATTCTCTAGATTCTTATTTCTATAACGATTAAATTGACAATTTTTTTTAAACCATTATCTTATTGATATAGAGGTACCCATTCGATTTATCTCGAAATTTTCAAGTATTCGCACATTTTATGTATAATTTCGCGTATATATAATATATAACATTAATAAAAATTATAAAAATATTTTGGATACGTGAACTTATGGATGTATTTTATTATACATATGTATAAAATGGTATATATCTAAAAACTAATATTTCAAAATGGCTATTGATGTCCAATACCTGCAAATAGTTTCTTAAAAGAAACTAAAAATTAATGTTAATATCCCCCATACCTAGAAATAATTTTTCAAAAGAAAGACAAATTATATTAATTCAAAATATATTCGTTCGTAATTGTATTTATCAAAAAATTAATAAAAATTCATCACAATATGAAATTATTTAAAAAATAAAAATTTATAAACAACGCTATATTCATATTTAATCTACTATTAAATCTTTCTAGCATTAGATAATAATAATATCAATCCTAATAATGAGAACATTTTTAACGAAGAAAAGAAAAGATACATTTCTTTCATCTAAATATATATTATTTAAATTAATTTGACTTTAAAGAAACGTATGGCGTTCATCGTTGAATTATTATCAAAATCATTGCTTTCGAAAATTTCCAAAAAAACCTGGGATTAGTTCCTTCAATCTTACAATAAAAATTCCCAATTTTCAACAGGGCACCGAACTAGACGTCGCGAATGGATCTCACAAGAACCGGTGAAAAATAATTCTCCATGATGAAAATCGTTTCGATTCCTCGGCGATACGAGCCACGCAACATTCATTAACGTTTATTTAACGAAAGGAACAATGATAACTCTTTTATTAAAACGACAATCTCGTCTAAGAACGCGAAAAGAACGTGGGAAAAACACGGTGATTTCGCAATCATAATTTATTAATTTATTTATGAATATTTTCCGATACAAAATTCATAAATACAAATATAACTGAAAAAACAAATTATTAAATTCTTTATAATAATAATTAACTCCCGATTCTATAATATCGAAGGTGATCATTAAATTTTGTAAAGTTAATATTTAATCGTTGACTTATCACATCGAATTTTCACTATCTTATTCGACATTTCTTTTTATTTAATTAGCAATATTTAGGAATATTATCTGACGAGAGGGACAGCGATAAAATTCTTTTGTTAAAATGATAATCTTGTATAAGGACGCGAAGAGAACGCGGAAAGAACACAGTATTTTCGCAATCATAATTTTATAATTTTTTTTAAGAATATTCAGTTTCTCGCGATTTGGAATTCATAAATAAATAAAGCTAACGGAAAGCATATCATTAAATTTATAATAATTGACTCGCGATTCTGTAACGAAGCCGTCCGTCAAATTTGATAATGCTTATATTTAATCATTAATTTAGCATCGAATTTTTACATTTTATATAAAAATTTTCCGAATTTATTAATGATTTTTTGCCATGAAAATACAAACAGTTACTCTTTTATGAATATTCCAAAAATATACTATAGAAACAAATAAATTTTTTATTAATTCTTTAATTTAATGAATTACTATTATGTTAATTATTATTATGTAATCATTATACGTATACTTTCGATAATTTTTCGTGTAATTTACATAAGAATTTACAATCGTAAATACATTATTTTCATATAATATAATTATAGTCATAATTGTATTATATTTTACAATTAAAATATCAATGTTAGATATATTTAAAATACAATTATAACTATTTACAATTGTAACTATTTATAATTTACAATTTACAAATTTACGATGCTATCAATATTGAATAATAATATTCCATTTATTCAAATATTTAATAACATCCATATAATAATTTGATATTGATAGTATTAACATTTGGATTTAATATTATAATATATTTGATTTAATACACATATATTTTTAAGTTTTAAAATAAAATATAACATGTTATGTTATGTTATTTCTTAAACGTTAATAATTATGCAATTTCTTTAATATTTCTGAGGATAATTTTGATAATTTAAACTTCACTTTTAAAACATTTTTATTTTTAAAACATATTATATTTATTTTTACAACGTTTTTAAAAATAAATTCAACTTAATTAAAATAATTTTAATTAGAATTATTGGAATATTAAAAGAAAGAATGAATCTTACTTAATAGCCCTAACAATCCTACTATTACAGAATTCTAATGATCTTAAAAGCCCTATCAACCCTATCAATAGAAGAATTCGGAATAATTTTACTAAATAGCCTTAACAACCCTACTTCCTGATTAACTAAAATTATTCGTGATTTGAAGAACCTATCTCTAATCATCACCTCACCTAATCATGTATATATATTTTAGTCATGTGCCCTAACTGCGTGTCCTAACCGCGTGCCCTAATCGTACTCTTCAGGCCAGTTGAATCTACCTTTCGTTGATCCTGGCCACTTTCTTTCTCGATCTCTAATTAGAGATCGAAGAAGGAGATGATTACTCCTTTTGCCGGATAATTACCGGCAAAAAAGCGTGAAATATTTACGCTCATTTAGTAACGATCGTTTGATTTCACGATCGCTCCTTAAATACTGAATATAACTTTATTTTAACTGAAATAAAGCCAAATTACTACAAATTTCTATAAATTATATTTTATAATAAAGTATATAATTAATGTGTGTATATTTATCATATTACAAATTATTTAATTAATTAATCGTTTGGCTTTATATTAAGTTAAAGTAAGTTTAAAGACAATATCTACAAACAAATTCTACGATGGATGAGCTATGAGCAATTAGAAGATAAGTGCGTATTATAAGAATAAATTAGCATTAACAATTATCAATTTTATCAAAAATTGATAAAATTGATAATTGTTAATGCGTGTTCTTTATTTAATAAATTAGACAAATAACCTTTACAAAAAATCTTTTCTTGATTTCTTCTCTTTTTAATTAATATTTCAATATATATTCGCAATAGATGCAAAGCATCTATTAATTTAATTTAATAATATAAGCATTAATTTAATTTAATAAAATAAGCATCTGTTAATTTAATTTAATAATATCTAATTAATTTAATTTAATTATTTAATTTAATTTATTTAATTAAATCCATCCTAGCTCTTCCATTTTAAGGCAACGGATTTATCTACTATCTACAATCTACATCTACATCTGTAATCTCTACGAATCCGTTACCTTAAAGTTAAATATAAATTTTTTTCACTCACCGGCACTGATGCGCAACAGCGGAGTTGTTGTTATCGAAGCTAGTTGTCTGTAACATACAAATATAAAATTCATTTATAATAACGCTCACAAAATGCAATTAATATTTAAAAAAATTTTTATCGCGTGGAATTTTATACCCGATGTGTAAAATAATAAGCAGATAAACACGTATGAAAAAATTTTATAAATTTTTGAAATTGTATTTTAAATAGAAAATTTTACATGACTTTTATAAAAATCTTTCTCTTTAATTCATTTAAGTAATAAGATCGAATTATTGTTCGTTTATAACAAGTTAACGATTTATAACAATTAATATATAAATAATGGATATTCACCATCAGGTTGCTCCGCCGATGTAAGATGCCTCTCCTAGGCCTCCTCCTCCTCTCATGTTGTTGGCGCGCGATACTTTTAACGACACTCCCACACTCGCGAGCGATATTTTTATATCGCTATTTTCGTTATTTTACGCGCGATACTGAACGGCACTCCCGCACTATTTCGATGCGATTAAAAATTTTATATTTGATCGCGCGATGTATACACTTAATATGTGTATACCTTTAACGGCACTCCCGGTTTCGGTACGAGCGAAAATCCCATTTCACTTACAAGAATTACAACGCGAAAACACGACGCGTTGACGAAGCGCTTATCGTCCGCGGCACGTTGACGGCACCGACGACACGAAAGGTACTTAGCTTCCCATTCAGGCACCTTAAAATTTATCATAAATTGAAAAATTTAAGATAAACCTCAAGCCGTCCAGGTACTAAGCCCTCCCACCGCGACAAGGTGTACCCCATGGGAGGGTTATATTATATTATATATAATCTTATATATAATATAATATATAATTAATTTTGTAATATACTATATAAATTTTAATTCGCAAATATAAACGATAAATAAAAAAAAAAGATAAGAGAAAATCTATTATATAAAGCAATGTTCAAAATAATTGTTAAAGAAAGAATTTGATAATATGTGGAATGTCCCACATCACTACCTCGCTGCTCGAAGGCCACTGAGAGAATGATCGTCATAAACATTACCGGTACTGTTTACATCGCCAAGGTTCACTATGTAGAGAGAGAATTTGATATAATATATGAAACGTTATTACTTTATTGTTCAAGGTTACTGTGCGAATGATCGTCATAAAACGTCGTTGAATTATTCTATGAGTGATTGTCGATTAAGAAAATTTAAAGCATTGGTCGAAATTTATTTTATTTTAATAAGTATGGTTAAAGAAATTATTATAATAAGCATCAATAATCGAAAGATCATAATAAAATTAATTTCTTTATCCCCTTTTATGTTCTCTTTTTCAATATTTATTCGCAGTAATTAATGATTGCGATTCGATAAAGATTTATCGTTGATACATTTTTATGACATTTATCATAAGTTAATTTATTTTTAATTATTAGTAATTATATCAAATTATGTTTCGATACTAATCGTAATCGTGTCTAGAAAAAAAATTCGACAATATGCAAAGCGTTTCGCACCACTTTTATCGCTCGAGTATCACTATGCGAATGATTATAAAACCGTAACATATTAACAACAGCGCGCTATTTGTTTGTATTGCCAAAGTCGAACACCGTGTTATTAATAATTCGTTGCCGAAATATTTTACGTACTGTAACATATACTGTTATACATGAAAATATCAAATTGTAAAAGTTTTACAATTTATAGATTAATTAAACGATTATTTATTAAACAATTAATTAACATACAAAGCATTTCCCATCGTTACTTTACTGCTCGAATGTCACCGAACAAATGATAGCAAAACCGTAACGTACAAACGATAACACGCTATTGTTTACGTCATCAAAATCGAACATAATGTTATTGATAATACGTTGTCCAAATATTTTATATACTATAAACAATTATAAAACAATTTATATAAAACAATTTATTGATTAAAATTGATTATTTATTAAACAATTTATCATGGAGCCTTCGTTATGCTAATTATTTGCATCTATAATTCGATTGTTTTCGTGTTCTCTCACAATCCAAATTATATTTACATTGTCAAGTAGAACAATAAAATAACACGGATGAAATATATTTGTGACTCTAAATATTAAAATAATAATTATTGTCCGTAAAAATCACAACGATCGAAACGATTATTTTAGATTCCTATAATTTCGATTCTTGATCAAATTGTATATTGTTTAATTAACAAGAATTAAGAAAATTTAAAGCATTGTTTGAAATATATTTAATTTTAATATTGTTAAAGAAATATTATAATTAACAGCAATGATTAAAAGATCATTACATGATTAATTCTCTTATCTCCTTTTATATATCCCTGTTTCAATTTTTAATCGCGGTAACGAAGCATTTTACGATTCGATAAAGATTTATAATTGCTATACAGTTTTATATTGTTAATTAATTTTTATTAATATTTAAAAAATTAATATTTAAAAAAAATTATGTTTCGATACTAATCGTAATCGTGTTTGGTAAGAAAATTACAATATTCGAAGCGTTTCTCACTACTTTATTCTTTATCATAAAAGTCATCGTGCGAATGATGACAAAGCGGTAATGTATAGCACGCTACTGTTTATATTTTATATTGCCACAGTCGAACGCCGTATTATCGATAATTCGTTGCCGAAATATTTTATATATTATAAAATATGCATTAACGTGAAATATTAAATTATGGAAGTATTTTAATTTATTGATTAAAATTGATTATTTATTAAACAATTTATTACGGAGCTAATTATTTGAATTTATTCGATTATTTTACCGCGCTTTTCTGAAGTAAAATTCTATAATATTTAGTTTTGCATTTTAAAAAATTGACCTATAGCGAGTTAAATAAATAAATAAATGATGTTGAGAAGAAAAAAAGACACATAAATAAATAAATAAATAAATAATAGCGTGAAAAGAGAAAACATACTAATATTTTTATATAATAAATTATTATTAATTAAATTATTTATATTTTTATTTATATTATTTATATTATCAGAGAGACATATATGTTACCCTCTGAGAACATTCGTGGACATTGGCTTTGTAGTTCATTTTCACTCATTTTTAATGTTCACAAAGGGAGTATCGTTTCCGATCACCTAAAAGCGGGCCAGATGCTTTCTTGCATCAATATTTTTAATTTAATTTAATTTTAATTTAATTTTACTTTTAATTTTATTTTTATTTTTCACTTTTACTATATCTGGATGTTTTTATTTATAAGTACAAAATCTTGATTGTTACTCTGTAATAATTGTTATTTTATTTTGTTTTATCTTGATATATATTTATTTATATGTATAAATAATAATATATATTCTGTAGTACAAATTTAGCTTAAGTATCTAGTGTCGATATAGAAGAGTTGTCGCGTCCTGTGTGCAGGAGCCCTAAGACTTTATATAAGCAAGATCGCCACGAAAAAGATTCGAAAATCCCTATATTATTTTAAGTTCCATTGGCTCAATCATCATAAAAACTGACGCACAATCATATGAGTCGAGATAGTTGCTTAGCAACCGTTTGAGAGATACAACAAAATCTGAAAATTACAGATGCATAATACATGTCTAATTTTAATTTTCACGTTCTACTTAGATCTTTTTACATAGATGATAAATGAGTTCCTTAAACACAAGACAGTATACGACGATTGTGATATTGCAATATGTTATATTATTTTTTGATATTTGTGTAAATTCATTTGCAAGCTTTGCCAGACAGCATCCGACAGATTTGCTGGTACTTTATGTGTATGTAATAATTTTTATTATTAGAATTTTGTTTAGTCACTGCACTAATTTTTTTCTTTAGGATCCAAGATTTTTGTCTTATTGCAGCCCTTACCCTTCTCTTGGTGAACTTCTTTTCTACTTATATTTTCCAGGTGAAGCAATAATGTTCTCTTACATATATATATATATAATACATAATTTCTAGCCTTTTCTGTTACAAAAAAAAATATGTAAGGCACTGAAATTATCTTTCAGGCAGGTTTGATACAATTGTTATATACAAGATTCCGTATAACATTGATATTGTGTATAATATATATGATACTATCAATTAGTTTGCACACATGGCATATTACTATACATTGGTCATCGCCATTAAAACATTATTGGACAAAAGGATTTCATATTCTTTATTCAATACATAGAACAGGTAAAACATCAAAAAACTGTGAAGAATATCTCTCTTTGATAAAGATATTATGATTTTAAGTTTTATATAAAGTTGCAGTGTTGTATTATTACTTCTATAAGAGAGCCTCTTTGAGGATTGGTGATCCAAGATTTTACAAAGGCTCCATTTGGGTACAAAAGCAATTGAGTATATCATAATTATGTAAATAAAATTTTAAATAATCAAGATTATTGTGTGTGCAATCTTAATATAAATGTAAGAATGCATTTGTTTATATTTCAAATTACACTATTTTAAATTATTTATGCAGTGCCTTTGTATTTATAAAAATTCATATAATTATAATTACATAGACATATTTGTATAATTATAATTACATAGAACAATGAGGTTGGCACACAGTTTATATATGTCAAAATATATCTAAACTATCTATATTCATGTATTATACATATACAAATATATTTACATTTTTATATACACTATGTAAAAAACTTTTATTATAAGGTAACTTTATACATTATTTATCTTATATTTAAAATTGTAAGACAATTTTATAATACTAAAAAACGTTACACGTAAATCAATATGCATGCTAAATATATCATTGTCCTGTAAAAGATGTTTCCTGTACTCTGATTTTTGGTAAGTACTATTTTTACTAGTACATATATCCATTTGTTTAACTATATATAGTACTAAATTGAATTATTTGTGAACTTATAATACTTATAATGTCTGCATTGCATCTTAAAATATAAAATTCTTATAAATAAAAATACCAAATTGCTTTTTTTTTTTAAGAAAATAGAAATAAATTTGTTGGGGGAAAGAGAAATGAAACTTTTATCAATTATTGTACCAATAGTAGATTTGTATTAAAATATAAAATTTTAAGAGTTAATATCCTTCAAAAAAAGTTTCTTTTTTTTTAATTTAATGATGTATAGTGTAAATTTGTATTATAAAATTGTTTCACAATATAATTGCACAAAATAAATGATTCTAATGACATATGTAGCTTGTAACTAGAAAATTATGTTTACAGGAAATATTACAACAAATATTAGTTTTTACATATTGTGTATACAATGTACATTGTGTATACTTTGTACATTATTATATTTAATACACAGTGCAAAAATTGAATCAAATCAAATTATAATCAATTAAGGTATTATTCGCGGCAATAATCCACTTTCAAAATTAACATATTGAATGCTCCTTATTGTGATCTCACTATTAACATATAAATTTCAAAATACTTGCAACGAATAAATCATAATACTTTTAAATTCCTGAATAATATAAGCACATTGAATACTGTTATTGATTAGATAAATGCATTAGAGCTGTCAGAATCCAAATTATTTCTATACTTGGCTATTAGGTATCTAAAGTAACCTGTTGTCCAAATTTGTGTGTATGTAAATATTATGCAGATATTACTATATAGTACTAAAAATTGAACAAAATCCAAATATTTTGATATTCAAAGAGATCAATAATTACATATGAAGTTATATACACACATACATATTATATACATATACATATATTTATTGAGGAATAGTAGTCTGTAATTAGTGAATGCAAATTATGAAAATTGTTATTTTTATTTTTATATATTTAATTTTTAATGATTTCAGGTCTTATTTCATTTAATATTTTTAGATGCGGAATGGCACAAAGAAAATAGATTAGCCAAAAAATATGGTTTAACTGAAAAGTATTCAATATAGTTTGTCATCTTGATTGCCTAATTATATTGAAATAAATATCTGTTTATACTCAAGTATGATATTTCAATATTTAAATATTCCGATAGCACTAAAATGTCCTCTATACATAATGATACAATATAAATAAACAATAATTTAATCATATATATTTTATTATATATTTTTAAAAGCGTTTTCGATGCATGCGGCAAGACATGTCAAATTCACTCAGTATTCAATGTGTTTTGAGATTTAATCTTATAGAGAAAACTGTATAATCAAGCATTTTCTATATTGGATTCGTATATTAACAAAAAAACTCATCAAATTATTCACTAACGACATTAATATGAAAATGGATATATCTGAAATCTACTATATATATATATATATATATATATATATATATATATATATATATATATAATCTATATATATATATAATCTTTAACAAATTATTTAAAATTAGTTACAAAGTTTTTACACGATTAACATTACTTCTTAATATCATGATATACAGCCGCAAAATACTAGAATAAATTTAGTTTTAATAAAACAGTCAGAGATTTTTACTAAAATATCTTAGAATATATATTTCATTATGCGAATTGCACGAGCTACAAAATATACTTATACTTCTTTTTAAAAGTATTTTATCCTAAAATTTTCATACATCACAAAATAATTTGCATAATTTTTTCACTCTTTTATATTTTTCCATTATCCTCATTACGTTTTATTTTCATTATAACTTATGTGAAATTGAAGAAATCACATTACACTGATGTATCTGATATTGTGCGTTTAGAAATCTATTGTGATAGTAATCGATCGTTTTATATGAAATTATAGGAATGTCGCATAATCAATGTGAGCATAAACAAAAATGTCATTTCATGCATTTTACATACTTGTATAATATATAATGTATATATTGTACACTTATGATCGAGTTTGCCAGCATATTACTTTAGACGTTATATCGCATTCAACATGTACATTATGAAAATATTTTATATACCAATGAAGTATTTTTTCAAATATTTGTTCCATCAGTTTAGAAATCCTTTTTACATTTGCATAGTATGATTACCATGCAGAAAAAGCAGTTTATCGATCAGATGAGGAGGTAAAGCCGCTCGCTTTGTATTGTATTGTATCTGTATGTCTGCCGGAATACGTGTAGGCGGTGCGCAACAGGCGGGCACACAATGATATCTACTTGCCAGTTTTGCCAAATTCGGACATTTTGCGGATACTTTAAACCACCATTGCAAGGGACAATTATCGAGCGGTGCAACGGATTCCGATTGATATTGAACAATCTCGAGGTCCGCTTTCTCTTCTGCAGGCATCCCAGCCTTGGTAGCACATAGACCACCAAGTAAAAATTCCATACCTGTCAATCAATTCATGTCACTTTAAAATATTTATTTTCACATGCGATGCGTATTTTCTCTCTAATCAGAGACGCGTTATAGACAATTATCATCGAAGTATACCTGATACTCTAGTTTTTTTACTTTGTACTGTTTCATCTTCGGTCTTTATAGAGATATTATCCCCGGATTCTTCCTGAATCAATTTCGTCAACATTTCCTTTATAGGAGAACTAACTATATTTTTATCCTCTTCAGTAACATAAGGAAATGATTTAAATCTGTGTAATAGAAAGATTTTATTAAAATGGCATTCTTAATAATATTCAACATAAAAAATGATTTTTACACTACTATACCTAGGATCTAAAGTAGTTGCGATTTGCAAAAGCAACTTGACATTGTAATCATTATATTGTTCACATAACATATTTGACAAGGATTCTTTAAACGATCTAGCAGTATCACTGTCAGATTCTTTAACTTTAAGATGCGAAGATACAAGTTGCCACAGTAATGGTTTTAATAATGATATCAGAGGCATTTTTTCCTCACTTAATGTCATAATAGTAACTTTTAATGGTTCAAGAACACCCACAATATCCTCTATAATTTTCCATTGTTCATTGGTGATTTCAAACATTTCTTGATCTATCCCTTCCATATTTTCTAGTATAGCTGTGACTATATTACGACGCATTAGCATTTGCTCTAACATATTGTATGTTGACATCCATACTATTGGATAATCTAGCAACATAGCATTTACTTCCAACTGCAATAAATAACAATTCTTATAAAGCACTTGCAAAATATTCTAATTATTCTTATATATGTATATGTATATAAATACATACATATATATAAATATAATTTTATATATATATATATTATTATTTATTATTATGTATTATTATATATATTATTATTTATATATATATATATTTATGTATTAGGAAATATTAAAAAAAAAAAGATTTTAATTCATAATAAATAAATTAGTAATAATAATTTAATTTGCTACAATTATAGTGTACCTCTACATATTGTTCTTGCTCAATTAACTCCTTAGATGCTTCTGGATGACTTATAATAGCTCCAATGACTGATCTGCATTTAGATAATATATGAGCCACTTCAGGATTCTCGAAACAAGCTTGCGCGCATACCTGTAGAGTATGAAGCAAGCATGGTACTAAAATCAAGCCACAATTATTTAATGCCATAAGTAATTCTGCTCTGGTAGTGCTGACAACTACTGCTGTTATTTTCTCCACCTTAAGATCCCATTCGAGTAATAAAGAATGAATAGTACTACTCCAATGGGATTCCTCCCAATCTGCCGGTGCGTGAAGAGTGCTTAAAACTTTACATTCTAAGGTGGCCTCTTCAATATTTTGATAATAAATTGATATGGTAACAAAATTCTCATTGTTATTTGATTTCCATTCTTCAACTGTCAATGCAAGCTCTGAAGTAATGCAGGATATCGAAGCAGCTACTGACTCCCGAAAAGTAGTGTATATTCTTGGTATTATCTCCTCTTCTAATTTATTCTTACTAGGGATCTCGCAAGGCGAGCGCAAAGTAGCCACTAATCTCTGAAATCCACGTCCCTCTACAATCTCTGGCAATTGCAGATCCATTACAATAAATTCCGCTATAGCGTCCGACACAGTTTTAATATCTACCGACTGATTTGTCACATTTTCCTCCGACATGAGGAATGCCAGATTTTGACTGTTGCCATTAATACCGGACCCACCCTTGATCATTACTCTCAGCGGTTGACCAATAGTAATATCATCTTCCATATTCGACAGACTTATGTTAGGATCCGTAACAAACTGTATATCACCGTCTATCTGGACGGTACCATCCGCGTTAGTCGTATAGATATATTTCGTTGGACTCAGGCTCGCTTTCAGCAGTCTCTTTTGCGCCTTGCGTTCCTTGTTCTCCTGAGAAATAATCTGTCTGGACGGCGGATTCGTCGATTCCAGTTCGTGCAATTCTTGAGCATGTTTGTTTTGCAGATGCATGCGAAGATTGCTGGTGTTACGATTATAGGCGATCTGCGTCTTGCACAGTATACAGACGATCTTCACCTTAGTCAGAATGTCGCCGTCGTCCGTGGCCGGAAATCCGAAGAATTTCCAGTAAATGCTGCGCATCGATGGCGGCACCACCAGCTTCTTATACGTATACGTATGTTTCTCCTCCATCATTTTCGCCAGTACCATTTGTAGGTCGTTCTTCCCATCGTCGGACATGATACTCATCTTCGCCGAGCCATTCGACAACGCTGATTGCTGCTTGCTGTTTTCCATGACGTTTCGTTCAACGCGCCTTCGCCGGCATCGGCGTGTCTGCTGTTTATCTACCGCGAGAATCGCATCTACAGCATTTGTCGTGCGCTGCTACCCTGTCAGAAAATAACATCGGTATTTCATCAAAATGGAGGTATCTCGTTGCATAATTTAGGACGCAACTCCGGAGGAAGACGCATCCTGTCGCCGACGAGCGCGTCAAAACGTCACCCGTCAGCCGCGAACCGCGGATACACGACGAATTTACCGCGAGCACGCGCCCCGATATATCTATCTCACCTCTCGTACCTCTGTCGATGAATTATTCCGTAGATATCGAAGTTCAATTCCTCGCGTCGAAAGTAACGATGCCCCGGATCGACTCGTTTGCAACAATGCGATATCGACTTTTACACCGTTTGTCCGCCAGAGGAATATCGTTATGTATCTACGGACTTTCTCTGATCGATTCGAGTATCATCATAATGGCGGATGAATCGGCGTCATGGATCAGGCAGCAAGTGATGAGAGTGTTGCACGATACGTATGGGCTGAACCTTGAACCAACGTGATAAGCTGAATGACACGTGTATCTGTTCTTCAATATGGATCATCCAATCAGCTTCGTTCTTTCGCGGAAGTTTCCCCTTTCCTAAAACTGGAATCTTGCGTCCCATCTAGTTATTTTCTTGTCTCTATGGCCATTCCAGCTGACCCGGGATTTTTGGCGGGAAGATATTTCCAAGCACATCGTACACTGAGAAAAATATTCTACTGTCAAGAAAAGTGATCACTCAGTTTATTTTTCTTTTTTTTCTTTTTAAGTAATAATTTTCTCCTTTTTTTAAGTAATAGTTTTCTTCAAAGAATATATTCTGGATAATAATCTTAAAATATACTCATCACAAGTGTTAGAAAATCTCATTATCACATACTCAAAAGAAGAATTTATTTTCTCTTCAAGAATATTGTAAAGTTGTATCGAAGAAAAATCAAAATTACTTTACGTCAACTCTTGTAGTAAGCAAACCAAATTTTTGTTCTAATTTAATATTCTTGATTAAAATACTGCACTTACTAAAATTCAGAATATATTCAATTAAATTTAATGCTTGTGGTAAACTTATGATATATTTGCGGATATACAAACTTATGATATACTTAAAATAAATAATATTTACTTGAATACAGTATATATTTTTCTCTGTGCAGAGAAAAATATCATTCTACTGTCAAGAAAAGCGATTACTCAGTTTATTTTTATTTTTTTAAGTAATAGTTTTCTTCAATAAAAAATATATTCTGGATAATAATCTTAAAATATACTCATCACAAGTGTTAGAAAATCTCATTATCACGTACTCAAAAGAAGAATTTATTTTCTCTTCAAGAATATTGTAAAGTTGTATCAAAGAACAATGAAACTTACTTTACGTCAATTCTTGTAGTAAGCAAATCAAATTTTTGTTCTAATTTAATATTCTTGACTAAAATACTGCACTTACTAAAATTCAGAATATATTCAATTAAATTTAATGCTTGTGATAAACTTATGATATATTTGCGGATATACAAACTTATGATATACTTAAATAATATTTACTTGAATACAGTATACATCTTTTTCTGTATACGTCGAAGTTATCTTGATCACCAGCGAGATACTGGAGAAAAAGATAAATACAAGTTTAACAAAGGTTCTCTAAGGATCTGTTAATGGAATCTGTTGATAAAGAGTGAGTCTAACAATATTGCTTATGTTAAATTTGATATATGATGTGATATTGTTCTCTCACATAATTTTGTTTCCTTGTTTCATGTTAAGGAAGGACGTTCGTATACAGGAGGATGTGCGTCAGATTTTGGAGCTGGCTACGATCAAAGAGACCGATTTAAATTCTACAACGCAATGCCTGTATCCTATGCAAAGTCTCAAGGTTGATGACTTAATGTTACTGGAAGTGGACAAGCACATATGGGAAACATTAAATGAGGGAGACACGTATGTGTCTTTTACAAAGAATTATTATTCACAGGTTTTGCAAAGTAGATTAAATAATCTTGCTTCAATGTTAACAATACAATTCCTATTCTACAGAATAACATGATGATTACAACTGATTTTATAATGATAGAGTATCATTCCGTGGTAACAAAAATGATGAAGCTATATTGTGCACAAAAAATCGGACCTATGAAATCAAAGAAGCAGAGATATCCAATTCATGGTTGGTGATACCAAACTTGAAGTTAAGCAAGGAAACAAATGTGGAAACTGAAAGAACCATAGAGAGACGAAATATAAAGAAAATATTTTCCTCTTATTATGAGGTATATTTGTAGCATTAAATATCTGAACATGTTAATGTTAAAATATATGCTAAAAAAAAATATGCTAATTATATGCTAAAGAAAATTTCAAATTAAAATTTTCTTTAAGGTGAAAGAAACCAAGCCTAATCTGACAAATTTGTCTACTCTTCTTAATTCATCATCTTTTAATGGATTGGAATACGAATCTGAAATAGATCCAAACACACTATACAGTTGGGAGAGATTACAAAATGAATTACAAGCCAGTGATTACGAATTGAAACAAGCTTTAGCAGATTTCTTAATAGCTGACATAGATGGTAACTATTCTAACATCTGCTATATTGGATGCTATATTTTCTTATTTATACAAATCATGTCATCAATTTTATTTCTGTATTAAGGCTATTTGCGTCTCATATCATTTGATGTAGAAGCAAAAAGTTTGAATTTTATATTGGATTATTTCGAAGAACAGAATTGGGAATTAGATGAAGTAGATAAAGAAGATACATTTGAATGTCTAAAGGAACTTATTTATGAACCAATATTTAATGTTATATTCAAAAAATATACAGAAATAAGCACAAAGACAAAAAGTGACAATAATCCATTGTACAAGTATGTCATTATTAATTTGTTTTGCAACAATTAATAGAAAAATTTGATGAGTAAGAATTTGTATTTTCTAAAGATGCAATTTTATAGATATGATGAAGGAAAATGCTGTGCAACTATAGCAAAAGTTCTTCTTGCTGCTTCTCCTGTTACCGAGTACAAAGAATTTATGGAAACATGGAACATTGGTACTCCTGAAAGTATGTAATTAATAAGCTCGGAATTACGATAGTGAAGAGTCTTCTCTTTTTTAAATTTAATTTCTCATTTTTTAGAGATGCATCCAAAAGAAGAATATTTATGTGGGTCTGCCCTTGTAATGTATAGTACCTCAAAAATGCAGAAGGAGATTATATCTTGTCCAGAAACTGATTTACCCAACAATATATACGATAGACTTAATGAACTTTTCCAAATTAAGGCTAAATGGACTGTTGAAGAGATAACCCCTTATATTATGTAAGTAAAAAAAAAAAAAAAACCATAATGTATATCTTTTCAAAACTTTGAATCTTATGTAATAATATTTCTTATGTAATAATATTTTTTAGCCGTTTTACAAAGGGTACAATGAATGTTAATGCACTTCTAACAAAATATGCTAGATGTTCTACAAAAAATGGATTAAAGTATTATGGATCAAAACATGGCAAGTGAAATGTTGCAGTAATTTGTGGTATGTATTAAATTGTCATGCAATAAATATAGATACACATACCATTGATTAATTATGTTAATGTTAGGGCAATATTTTTCTAAGAATTATCTATAGTGTTAAAATCATAGGCGCAATTTATTTTGCTTGTGATCATGTGTGATACATATAGTTACATTTACACAATTTATAAATATTTTTAAATTGAAATGAGATTACATATGATTTATTTTTATCATTTTCTGTTTCATTAATATAACAGTGACATATTATCGACGGTATATATTATATCTCATCCATTAAAAGATCATAGTGTTAGAACATAATGTTAGAAAACAATTATTAATATTTCAATAGCCAAATAATTCTTATTCCACTGATTATAAAATCGCCACTTTATTACAGAAGCATTTTGTTAAATCAAAATTTTCATTAATATGTATAACATTAATGTAATTATAATTAAATATAATATTCTTCTTCAGGAGTGCAATAAATTGAATAATTACTTCTAAATTGTAACTTCATCATAAGATGTAATCTCATCATGAGTTAAATACAATAAAACTTATATAAATATATGATACATGAAGCACGGAATAAATTTACTTATGAATGATGGTGAAAGAAATCTTAGAAAAATACAAAAGAATTATATAAATGATAAATACTTTTACCAATGTTTTTGTAGAATACAATTTTTACATCACTTTAATACAATATCCATTTAAATATTCAATATTTACGATGTTATATCTTGAAAATGAAAGACAATTGTCATAACAATGAGTAATTTTAATATCTGTAAAAAAGTGATAAAAAAGAAATATGTGTATATCATTACACTGCAGAATATAATTGATCAAATTGGCAATTTAATTAACATTAATGTTCTTCTACTTTCAAATATAATGAATATCAGTTATACATGTTTTCAATATAAATTAAAGAAGTGCATTATGTTTTTGCAATGTGGAAAAGTGCCATCAGTAATGATAAATATTCATTATGAGTTCCTGGGAAGCAACTCCTTTATCAGGAAATATATAATACAAACATTACATTCTTTTTCTTCTGAGCGTATAAGCACATCTTGGCACATAAATTTTTAAAGCCACATATCATTTAAGATATAAAATTCACAAATCTTTTTATAAATATTTTACATCCATGCCAATTGTAACAATAAGCGAGTAAAATGTAATAATACAATCATTATTATAATGTTTCGGAATATCAAGATTCCTTGCGGATTAAATCGAGTTCCCCCAGGAACACAATAAAGCGCAATAATACTTTTTTCATATCTATAAAGTATTTGAATTTTGTAAATACACCATACATGTATATGCACAACTGCCGCCGCAAATTGTAGTGATGAGCTATGAATGGTATTCTTATATGCAAAGATGTAACTTCCTAAAAATATCTCGTAGGAACTGACTCATTGCTGAAAAATGGTTTTTGTATTTTATAAAACATTTCGTATATATAAAATGTCGCAAATTGGTATGAATCATTAAATAATTATTTAATAGAAATAACATTCAGTCCCTCTTTTTACATTGTAATCACTCCCCATAGTATTCCTACAGGTAGGAAATAGACTATGAAATTACGAACTTGTATTAAAAACAACATTGTAAGATTATGTCCTACAAGAAATTATATCTTCGCGCAATGTTGATTGAAGAGAGAAGATATTACTCGTTTTTAAATATATATTTATAAATATATACATACACACCCCTAAAATACATTTATATGTATGTATGTATACATTATCAATTACGAGATGACGCAAATAAAATTTTCCAATCACTAGTAGAAGTAAAACTCGCGATGCTTAAAATAAATACGGAGAATGCGAATGAATCGAAGTCTTTTTAATCGAAGTCTTATTTAATAATGTTAATATTAATAAATGCTTGTCTAGTATTTTTTTTTGCGGTAGAACATCACTTGCATCACCTCGTATATGCAGTCATCGCATAACAAATAGTTGTGATAATCCTAAAGCTTTGGAGTTGTGATTTCATTATATAGTTGTGACTTAAATCCTCTATTAAACTATCCTACTAACTAATCCTATTACAACTAATGAATACTGTCCTATCTATAAGTACGCATAGATAAAATGCTTGCATATTTTTAAAAGTTAAAAAGAGCTAAAAAGCACAAATACTAGATTTCTCCTGTCGCTGAAGTATTCGTGTAGATGTATACCCGGGTAACTTGATAGGAGAATGTCTGTTTATATACATATTAAGCAATAATCCGAAGTAGTCCTGGAATCGGCATATAAAAAAATGATAATCCGCATAGATTTTTACGAGAAAGCCACGCATTCATATCATTTATTTCAATTCAAGATATCTCGTTGTTAGCTGTCATTTATCGGAGTCTCACTTGTGGCTTTACTATTGGCCGCAAATACCGTCTGCTGATTAACGCCTGCTGCAATTGACTGACTTGGATGTATGACGGGACTAACAGTCTGTACTAAATTGCAAGAGACTGGCACCATAGGCGGTAAATTAACGGAATTATTCATAGGCCCAGCGTTACATGTCAATGAAGGTCTCTTTCTTTCTAAACTATTAGTGGCCATTTGTCTCCTTGTTGTTGAGTTACGTTCAAGACTGTTGGTTACTATATTATGTCTTCTTTCTAAACTGCTGCCGGAATTAGGATCGGATTGACCTCCCTAAATAATAAGAGCACATTTTTCAAATCATCATTTTTATATACAAATTTCAGTGCAATTATATAGAAAATTTGTTAGGAATATTAATTTCTAAAAATCTATTAAATTTTGAGACTGCATAATATTTTTTCATTGAATTGAAATATTTAACTCACTGGTGAAGTTCGATCCACAGATTGCCCCATTCTATGCAACAGATCACCACTTTGACTTTGTCTGAAGGTTGTTCCCTGTCGTTCACTTGACTGACTTCTTCTCAAAAATTGTTCGCCAGACTGGCTCGAGCGAATACGGTTCTCGGGCGTGGATTCTCGCGTCCTGTTAACAACATCGCTCTGTTTCTGACAAATTTGATTATCCACATATGGATAACGAATACGGATGGAATCGATCACATCTAAGAGATTCTTTGCGTCCATTGCCAAGATATGAGCTGCAGAAAGCATTCCTCTGAAAGAGAAAAATCATAATATTAATTAATTTCCCATGCACAAGTCTTTATCCACAGATAATAATAAAAAAAATACACTTACTTTCGATATTCAGCGTCTAACGTAGTGGCACTGTAATTTTGCGCTAGTTTCATAGCGGCCACGAGTTCCGCCATATCTTTACTTAATACTTTATGAGCCATCTCCACTTCACGATGCGCGGATATTGGCAATATTTCTACAAGAACATCCACAGAAGACAGTAATGCTCTTAATTCGATACCTACTCTACGTACTAGTTCTAAATACTGATCAGCCTTGCTCTGTTGAACACCTGCAATTTACAACATATATTCTTCTTGCATGACAAATAATGAAGTATGATTGAAAATGTATAATTTTTTACAACACTATGCCATTTAGCTGCCTATATTATTATCGATCGTTACATTCTCACCTTGTGATAATGACATAACTGCACGCACGACACTTGTTGTACAGTCGTAGACTTTATCGTTGGTTCTGTCTAAATCTGCAGTAGGTGTAGGCTCCATTTTCTGCAAAGAGAAAATCATGCATAATTAATGTTATAATAAACATGTAAATTATCTACATTGTTAATGATAAATATAAGCTTTACCTTTACTATAATTACTTTATCGGAACCTTTATCTGAGCCAAGAGAGCCAGTATTGGTGGAATGTGGTTCATGGCTTGGTGATTGAGTAACTGATCGCGGAACTGGGGGACTAGCACTTTCATCACCACTCGTTGCAATCGATAAGCGTTTCTATTATATGACGCAAATAAATATTTAAATAATTTTAATTTTGACAACGAACTTTAAATTATATTATTTACAAAATTAGAGATTTATATAAGCGAAATTCAACATACTTCTTCTCTTGCGAGCCAACGACTATCTTCTTCAGACTGTCGTTGCTGCTCCAATAACCGTTGCTCCAGTAACTTTTGTTCATCTTCAATGCCACTGTTGAAATTGTCGGTCGGATTGTCAAACAATTGCGAGTGTGCGTTCCTCTAAAATGATAAAAACGATATTATGTTAGAGAAATCTAATTCGTTTTTATTTGGTACTATGTCATAAATTATTATAACTTAATTTGGGATATTTTGTAACAAGATTTATGTTACAATTGTTTTTTTTTTTTCGATAATATACAAATATGTACAGTAAAAATTAAAGAGATGCATATATTTCTCGAAATGCAAAATAAATTTAAAACAGAAGTAGTGCATTCGTGTTCGCTACATGCAGTTTAAATGATTACTGTAGCAATAACATCAGTGACATCCATTCATGCAAAAATTATTAGCCTATTGGAACAGCGAATCAAGATTTTTGCTAAAAATAAATTTTCTTCGATCGTATCGCAACAAAAGAGAAGATTCCTGTTTATTCCCGTGCGTATTTTACTAGAGAAGCATATAACATATATATTATAACTGAAGTGTAGAAGAAGTGTGTTGCACAGACCAGGTAAAACCAAAATAATATGTGGCGTTGTAAATAGAGAAGATGCGTTTTTCTCATTCCTAGAGGAGGCATAAGGTCAAACCTGATCTTGTTGTGCCTCCTCTGTCATCGAGCTGCTAGATGACATGGTGCTGTCACTGACAGCGGAAGAGATCAAAGAACCGGAGAGAGTGCCGTCTGTCGAACTCGTCAATTGTTCGTCTTGCTTTTGCGATGTCACGAACGTGGTGATTTTGGCGACGCCTGTCGCCATTTGTGGTACATTTACCACCTTTGCGACGCCACTAATAGTTGGACCTAGTTGGGCTATTTGTTGATGCATACCGCAAGTACTCATCGTTATATTACTGGCAAGCGTAGCGTGCACTTGAGTGTGATCTATCGGGCCAAGGGAACTCGGTTGTTCCACCACATAGGTAGATGGAATCGGATGGATATTTTGTTGAGTCACGGAAGATGACACGATAAAATGCGATGGAACGGAGGAAGCTTGTATTATTCCGATATTCGCTGACTGATTCGTTGCTTGACAAGTCGTTGTCTGGCCGCTAATTCCTGTCGATGACTGCGCTTGATGGATATAATTCGGTAGGTGTACCTTTTGTGCTTGAACTACCGACACGGACGTAGCATGGGCCGTGTAAATGGGATTGGCGCCACTCAATTGATGAGATTGTTGATTCGTATGTTGTATCGCTGCGTATGATACAACCTGCGGTACAGCGTTCTGCCGAGCAATATTTTGCACGTGTTGCATTTGTGGCAGATACATAGCCTGCTGCCCTGGCTGAGTGATATTAGAATAGATCTGCTGATGCGGATAGTTCTGCGGATATATTGGCTGTTGCGATTGTAGATTCTGCGCCATCAGGTTGTTTCTTGCGGCCTGACCGTAATTATTCCCAACCGTCACACCAACAGGCTTCGTCGATTCGTTCGTGGTCGTCTGAGGCTGAGCGTTTTGCGCGCGAAACTTGAGAACTGGGCCGTACAAACACTCTGCGTTCGACATTGAACCAGCAGTTACATTCGTCGAGCTAATATTACGAGGGTAAACAGCAACGCTACTACTACCACCACCACCACCGCTACCACCAACATTCTGTACGCCGCTTGCATTCAGATTCGTAGACTGACCGCCGCCACCACCAATAAATGCTTGGTTTGCATTATTACTAGGCGCAAAATTACCGTAATTAATCGGCTGGGCATGCGTGACAAACTGCGCCTGACTACTACTATTCGGTATCATAATATTGCTGCCCAAACTACTGGGGCCAAAGTTCCCGGGGTTCTCACCGTAATTACCACCTACTATGCTAGCGCTTTGACTGAGATTACCAACGATAGCCGAGCTCTGGGTGAAACTAGCGACCGGTCCGTATATCTCGCCGCAGGTGTTGCCCGCGACCGCGGCTGACGCGGCCGCGGATGGCGGCGGCGGCGTCGCGCTGGACGCGACGAATTTCTGCACGGGGGAATACAGGTCCCCCGTGACGCTACCGACCACCTTCGAGCTAACCGCATACAAGTTTTGCATCTCTTTAACCTTCTGCTGCTTTCGGTTGGCGGCGGGCGACTGCGTCTGCGTTGCCGTGTCTGAAATGCTCAGGCTCGACATGAGGGGAGCGTTATCGAGGGAGGAATCGAGGGAATCTAGATTGGTATCAGATAGAGTGGAGTCACCGCCCGATTGGGTAGTGTCGTGCGTGACAATGGACGGTGGTTCGGAGAGCGCGGGATCGAAAAAGGGCAGATCGGACACGAGGGAGGTGGTCAGAATTTGATCCTCATCTTGAAACTGCACCGCCAAGGTATTGAAGGGGGATGCGGGAGTCGTGTACACGGAGGGACATACCCCTCTGGCTTGGTTGTCCTTGAGAAGCTGCGCGAGAACCTCGGGACTCTGCGCCACGATGTACGTGGACACTGGCGCTGCGGATAACTGCGATTGCTCTGTCGTATTCTGCGGTTGTCGGGAGGGTTTTGGTGGCGGTACATCGTCTGCACCTATAAAATAGAATATTTTATGTACATAATCGCGCGCACGAGTAACATGTTCGTCATTGTAGCACGTTTTGCTAAAATACGGAAATATATACAGGGCGTATCTTAAAAAACTCCCACTAAGCAACCGAGTCGAAAAGTCCTGAACCATTTTTTTCCATAATGCTTAATAGAGCAGTAATTAATGAGTAAAGCGCCAATAAAAAGACAAACTTCCTCGTTATCAACGTATGAAGATTTGGATATGCAAAAAAATAAACTGTTTTGTGTTAATTTTTAAACAATTCATCTTTTCAGAAATCTTTTTAATACTTAAATCTGATTAATTATTTAATGAATCTTGGGAAAAAATGGTTATAGGAATAACGCTATTTACTTAGTGGAAGCTTTTTAAGATACACCCTGTATATATCGTTATTATAAACAACGTACCCCAGGACATGGCTTGCACTCTTCTATTCTCTCGTCTCATTGTTTCTTGTTGTTGATGTTTCTCTTCTATTAAGATTTCGCTGTAATTATTTAATAGAATATGTAATGTAGTATGCTAATATCTCTCTTTAAAAGAAGTGCTTAGTTTCCAAAGATTTTCAATACTCACTGTAAAGTTTCTCTAATTTCTTTAAACGTCGGTCTTTTACTGGGTTCGTAACTCCAACATTGAGACATCAGGGAGTACAATCGTGGCGGGCAATGATTGGGAAGTGCGAGTCGTTCTCCATTCTCCAGCTTGCGTATCACTTCATTATTCTTCACGCCTTGGAATGGTTTGACGCCTAACATTAAAATCTCCCACATGCATACACCTAGAACAACGATCAAGTTTTATTTACGCAATCTTTTAAAAAGGGAGACGGACTCGGTTTTTAAAAAATAAATCTTATTATCGATTAATCTTGGTGAAAACTAACCGAACATCCAAACGTCTGACGAAGTCGTAAATCTTCGAAAGTTTATGCTTTCCGGTGCCATCCACTTAATTGGCAGTTTACACTTGCTTGCGGTATAATAACTCTGATCTTCGACCCATCTACTGAGGCCGAAATCCGCCAACTTGACACAACTATGCGACGAAACTAGCACATTTCTTGCAGCGATATCTCTACAAGAAAATCACGGAGATATTAGATTAATATAGAAAATAATAATAATAGAATGACAAATAGATTTCGTTCGTTATAGATACCTGTGCACGAATTTCTTGCTTTCAAGATAGGACAGGGCAGTGCTCAATTGAAAAGTATACAACAGAAGTGTAGCAAGGTCCAAACGGTGCTTATTAGATTGTAAATAAGCGCGCATTTCTCCAAGTCTAGCTAATTCCATCACGAGCCAAATCGGCGCCTCCGAACAGACTCCGATCAGTCTAATAATGTGAGGATGCTCAAATTGCTGCATAATATCTATAATTTGATTATCGTTCTAAGTATATCGAAAAACGGCAGGGTTAAAATGTATTTTATATTTTATAACGAATATATATAATTATATAGATTTCTCGTACAAGCTTCTTCGAGGAATTTCTCGGCAGTAGCGAGATCCGCATCGACCTTGCAAGTTTTAACGGCAACGGCGATAGTTTGACCGTCCCTTCCCTTGTACGATCCTTTATGGACGTTACCAAATTGACCCTCCCCTATAATTTCACCTAGTTCCACTTGATTTCGGACTATTTCATAATCTCGAGCTGTAAGCAAGATTGATCGATTTAAATATCCTTCCTGTATTACTTTAAAATATAAAACTATGAAAATACAAATCAAAACGATATTAATGAAAGATATTATATTTATATTTTTAATCACATTAAAGTAAATGATAAAGATAAATATACTTACTAGCTGGTGTTGAATAATCTCCTTCTTCATCAACAATCTCCGCGTAATCCTCGGACAAAATTGTTCCAGTTTTGGAACTTGTATTCTTCTCGCCGGCCGGACTATTGGCACCACCTTCTTGCCTGTATTTTGGCGGTTGTGCATCTATGATAAAAATCATATTTTATGTATACTTATAAGTGAGATAATTCGTTAAAAAATATTCAAGCAAACAATGTCCCTTGTTTGTTTACCTTTGCATGGACAAGGATAATTTTTCCACGATCCAGCTTGCGAGTACAAAATAAAAAATCTTAATATATCTTATCAACATCGCAATAGAATAAAGATTTATGAAATAATTTTAAGATGTAATATACGCGCGCATTTTTATCTTTTTTAATAATCGAAGAAAAATCTTGAAGACTAGATAACTATTAGTATTTGAAATTTTTCTCGCAGTAACAATAATAAATATTTTTAGCCTTACCTTTTCTATTCCACAATGAAGTGTTGCTGCCTGTGACCAGTCTACAATATCCGTCAATCAAATCCGCAAGACTCTCCGCTTGATCCAGACTGGAGCAAGTGATGCTAAGAGTTTCCGCGGCACCCGCGACTCTTAATTTAATGCAGGCCTTTGCGTGTTCTTTGCAATCCGACACCAACGTTTGGATGGATTGTATTTGCGAGAATTCTGCCATCCTTGTCGGCTGCAATCGAGATTTTTATTCCGAAAGAAATTATATAGATTTCATCGTTCTTTTATAAAATAAAAGATATTCAAAAACGTACCACTGTTCCTCCTCGATGAGCCATGTACGATATACCCAAATCCGGTCCGATGACTAGTTCCACGGGTATCGACCAGCTTGACTACAAATTATAAAATAGAAATTACAAGTGCAACCAATCAAGAGTATAATAAATTTGAGAAATAAATATAAACTCCGTGTATTTCTTATATTTTTATCGCTCGGAATACGCTAGAGAAATGTATGAGATAGTATGAGATAGTTTATAACTATTATTGCTCACCCCTAAAGCGCATATAAACCTTTCCTGATCGAATCGATAGTACGCGCGCAGTAGGTCGAAGAATTTAAACATGCACTCGAGTTCGGACAACGCTGCGACTTTTTTAAAGTGTTGCTGTATCAATTTTCGAAGTGCCTTCGCCTTCATCCCATTCAGCACGGAACGTGGTAGGAATTTATGCAGACCGACCTATAAAAGGCAAATTCGCATATTTCGTACACAAGAAAGGATGAGATAAATTGGATATGTGCACTGAGAAAAATCGTTTGATTGTACCAACAAGACGTATATGATTGAAGGCATTTTGGTTAAATCAAACAAGAATTTCTAGTTATCATGATAAGACTCGATTTTTTATAACTAGAACATTTAATAGATTTTATTATAAGGATTTGATTAGTATTTTCTGGTTAAATCTATAAAATTTCTTGTTGCATTAACTTCTTTACTTGCCGTTAGACGGCGAGCCACTCTTAACTTAACTCATATTCAATATTTGACATGAAATGTATATAAAAAACTAGTATTAACATTAAATCCAAAGTATATTTTTTTTTTCTTACGAGCAGTAGTGCCAAAAAGAGGACGCTAGCTCTCTGATTGTGTGTGTTTGAGCTGCATCTTCTTCTTGCATCATTGTTTATCAGTTTAATTTCTAACAAACTGAATTTAAAATAATTTATTCAATAATCTGGATTGAATTTACCCAATAATCTTGTTGGAATTCAGAATATTAAACAGACTTTTGAGATTAGATGGAAAAAATGTTAGACTCGATGTTGGTAAGTTTAGTATTAACCAGAAAATTTGATAAATTTAACAGGAAGAAATTAATCAGACTCATCTGGTAATTCTTACAAGAATTCTGATTCGTCCATTTTCCAACAGACATACTGGTTGAATCTATCAGAATTCTAATTAATGCTACCAGATTTTTTCTCAGTGTGATTATATTGTAAAATCGCAGGCGATGTTCGTCGTTTTAAGAGACTCTACCTCACGCTCCAGGTATTCGAGATTGCTCTTCTTGTCCAGAGCAATTTGCGGCATGTCCTTGAAGAAGTAGCGTATCTCCAGGCAGCAGAGCTGAACAGCGACGTCCTGATCCAGAGCGGCGTGATTCGCGAGTAGGTAATCGTTTCGCACCTGTGAACGTGATCAAAATGGAGATGAATTGGTACTTTATTTCCAAAATATAATGGCGCGAAGCACTCTTTCATGATACATCGTCGTACCTGATCGTAGTAGTAATAGAACGTGACTTTGTCCTTCTCGTAGAGATCATTCAGATTCTGAGGAAGATAACGCACTCGAAGTTCGTACCTCCATTCGCAGTGCGGATGCTTTCGCTCGTATTTCTCTTGCACCTTGAATTAAATGTATATGGAGAAAATTGAGAAGAGAAATAAAATATATCGATGCTGGAATATAATGTGCGGGATCGAACCGCTCTGTACCTGATACATCGTTGTATCTTGGTGCAACCAATAACTCTCTCCGGATCCGGGATGGTGCAGCCTCATCGCGTACAAATTCCGGTAGTGCCTGGTACCAACGGCCAGTCGACTAGTCACCAGGGAAATGATACCTCTAACGTCAATCGCATCGCCAAATTTGACGACATTGAAACCACCTAAATTTAATAACACAAGATATATAAAAATAAAGTCGACGAGAGAATTCTTCGTGTTTTTCTTAGCACACATTAATTTATTTTTTTTGAAATTTGTGTAATTTTCTTCTTGTAAAATACGAGAGAAATTAATTGATAAAAAATGAAGAAATATTTGTGGATTTTATATAATCTTCATTTCTTTGTGAATGCGAGAAGCAAGTGTCTCATCAAGCAGCCTAATGTCTCGTCTGACGCCAATCTCTGGCGTGTAATAAGATTCTTCGAAGAGCTATTCCAGGGCGAAATAACTTACCGTTAGGAAGATGGACTTTTAAAGTCGCCTTATCCATGGGGGTGGGCGAGCCATGCGGTGGTGTGTTTCTACCACCACCGCTGCTCTGGACACCTCCGACACCTCCGCCCCCACCTCCATCTCCTGCTCCAGTGCTCATCCCCTCATGGCTGCATATGACACAAAAAAGAAGAAAAGATTTTTAATGAACGTCTCGTTACTTTAAACAAACAGATCTCGCATGTTTTGTCGGGACAAATTAATTACAACAGCTCGTCTCATGAAAGAAATCATTCTTTGACATTTTTCATCACAGAAAAGATAGAGACCTTCGCGTTTTCGATCTTTTATGCCAGTCTAATATTTTTAAATATTATTATCTGACTTTTAGAAAACTTTAAAACGACTTGATCTTGAAATTGTTTAGTATATTTATTTTTTAGTATTTATTTAGTATTTATTTTTAGTATTTATTTTTATTTATTATTATATATATTTATTTTTAGTAATTATTTAGTATATATATTTATTTTTTTATGTATGAATAAATTACATTCTGAAAGATTGAAGTTTCATTAAGGATGTTTTGTAGCTATTTTCAAAATATTGAGAATTTAATGAAATTGTACAAAATGTCCTTACATATGTTTAAAATCTTCAGTACAATTTTTAAATCGATTCACTAAAGCGTTCACAAGTTATAAGGATTTTAATTTGCACTGAAATAACATGTGTTCTTATGGGAAACGTATAACCACGTCGATTCAAGTGACAAAAACACATGGAAATAATATTCAGAATTTGTTTAAAATTTGCAAAAGTTTAGATACAGAGAAAATATTTGCTCAAATAATATTATACAAGTACTAACTGGTTAAAAAGATATTAAATATAATTCAATGAAGTTAACGTATCTGTCACAAGGCGAAATTCTCTGCCAAAAGTTAATCATTTGGATTAACAAAATTCGGAATATTTCAGTAAAAACGCAATAAATATTAAAAAATACATCTTTGCACTGTATCTAAGATCAAATTGTAATATTCCACAATTTCTTACTCAAAATATACCAAAAGTGGATATATTCGTCAATATTGATTTTCAGTTACTTTTTGTTGGGATTGTACATACAAAACATCCTTAAAAGATTATTTTAGGAAATAGGACAATTTTAGGAAATTTTACAAATAAAATCTCTGACAGTATCAATTTGAATCTATCAAAATATTTCTTTGTAAAACTGTCACTTATTTCGCATCTATTTCGCGCATCTTTGCTTGCAAATCACATTTTATTTTATTTTTTTTTAAACTGTTATTCTCTCTGTCTTTTCTTTCTCCTAGACAGCAGAATGATATGTTATGTTTGTTTTATTTGAAGTTTCATAGATGGTTCCTGCAGCAGTCTCGCGTCAAGAATAATTTAATGACACCCGTGCAGAGTCCCTGGACAATTCGTTTCACATTTTGAAGGGCACTTTCGATCTGTCGAACGTACATCCCGCGACGAATGCAATCGTGAGTCCCACCGCGGCATCGTCATGGCATAGAGTTCACTCTAGTGAGACCAAACGACGGGGAACTGTCGCAAGAAATCGCGAAAAATCACGAGCGACGCATCAGCGCTGCAGAAATGCAGCGAGGCAAATCGAATCGTCGTCGTCGTTATATTGAACAGGTCAAGTCACGATTGTCCGATGATGTTCGCGCGGATCGATGTGCATTGAAATTGTGCTCATCACGAAGGTCAGTCGTCCGCGCGAGCGAAAATGACAATTGTCGCAGTGACATCACGCCCGATGATCTAACGAGGAGCCAGTCCCATTATCTTGGGCGTAATAGTCCAGTAAACATGAGCGCAAAAATTACAGATTTTAAACCGATTTTCGACGAATAAAAATATTATTATTCATTAAGGATGTTTTGTATGTACAATCCCAGGAAAAAGTAGCTGAAAATCAATATTGACGAATATATCCACTTTTTTTATATATTTTGAGTATGAAAAATTGCATGGAATATATTGCCTTTATTTTCAATTAATGTTCCCCGGGGGACAACCCCCCCCCCCCCTATTCCCTATTGTCCTATAAATTGTCCTATTCCCCCAACTTGTCCTATTTCCTAAAATAATCTTTTAAGGATGTTTTGTATGTACAATCCCAGGAAAAAGTAGCTGAAAATCAATATTGACGAATATATCCACTTTTTTGGTATATTTTGAGTGTGAAAAATTGTGTGGATTTTACAATTTGATCTTAGTGCAGAGATGTATTTTTTAATGTTTATTGCGTTTTTACTGAAATATTCCGAATTTTGTTAATCGAAATGATTAACTTTTGGCAAAGAATTTCGCCTTGTGACAGATACATGGCTAACTTCATTGAATTATATTTAATATCTTTTTAACCAGTTTGTACTTGTATATTTTATTTGACCAAATATTTCCTTTGTATCTAAACTTTTGCAAATTTTAAACAAATTCTGAATATTATTTCCATGTGTATTTGTCATTTGAATCGACGTGGTTATACGTTTCCCATAAGAACACATGTTAATTCGGTGCAAATTAAAATTCTTATAACTTGTAAACGCTTTAGTGAATCGATTTAAAAATTGTACTAATTCTAAACATTAAAATTGTACTGATTCTAAACATATGACATTCTGTACAATTTTCATTAAATTCTCAATATTTTGAAAATAGGTATAAAACATCCTTAAATGTTATTCATTATTAAATGTTATTCATCCTTAAATGTTATTCATTATTAAATGTTATTCATTATTTATTAATCAATCGTTTCCGATCTATTCGGTCATCGAGCACATGCAAATTTAAAACTTAACTCTCTTCTTAACAAAATATATAGTGTGTTCTTATAAAGTTTGAATCAGGATAAGTTTTAATGACGATGCATATCTCTTACAATTTCTACTGCGACAAATAAATTATTACACGTACTTTGCAAAGCATCAATTAAATAGAAAGAAAGGTCAAAGAGTCAGCAGAATTTTTATGAGTTTACAGCAAAGTTTTTATGGAAGATGAAGAGACTTTTAATCCAGATATTAAATAAGAATCGATAAAATTGAGCTGTGAAAAAGAAATTTCATTATAATTTAAATAACGCATTAAAAAGATTTCGCGAAATTTCGCAAAGGAAATTTCAAGCTTCCTCGTTGTATAACATTTCAGACAGTTGCATCATGTATAGAATGTTATATATGTTATAGAGTAACGTTATAGTAATGGGGTCGAGCTTTCCGGAAAATAATCCGCATAATATCTCTGCTTCACTCCTCTAATTCTCACGAGATCAGAGTCTCGAGATCATCCTTCAGCCAGCTTTCGAGCCAGGATATGTCTCTGCGATACGTTGAATGCATATGCATTTGACTTATCGGTCCGCTGCGTTAAACCGTCACCATTTAACTGACATTTGTGTCGCAAAGAAAATATCGCGTAAGGAATATTATTTGCTCATAATTAATATTTAAAATGTTTGCCATCTATTAATTAAATTACATATTTCATTGCAATCTCAAACAAACGAGATGTATAAAGGAAGGTACAATTAAAGGATGTACAGAAATGTAAACTATTAAACTATTAGAGAGAACATTAAATTATAGCAATTATATATTAGAGGGAAAAAGAGAGACGCAACAAATTATGTATCATTATATATCACTATTCTCAAATCATTTATACAGTTTTCCCAACTATTTGAATTAATTACGTTCTTAAATCACGCACTTATATAAATAATCCTTTTCCAATCACGCAAATATAAATATTCATAATAAATGCTTTAATCAAAAAATTGCCTGCAGCGATAAACTATTCAATTTGATCACTTTTGCGTGTATGTTACATATATTAAATGTTACATATCATGTAACTCATGTCCGTATCACATGTACGCGACAAGTACTGAAATAATTTCTCAATGACGAAACGCTCTTTCTCTCTCTCTCTCTCTCAATGATTCTCACGATACACATAGTTCTACTTTCGATACGATCGAAACGCCACAGAGCATTGCGCAGAGCGTATTTGCATTGCGGCTATTAATGCAAATGTGTATTACGAGCGACGTCCGGCTAAGGAATGCCGTCGGTCAGGGACCAAGCGTTTGCGTCGAGAACCACCAGCCATCAACGTGCGAGCTCCTAAGAAAAGTCGACGATCAGATAAATTTATTTATTTATTTTCAGATTCTTAATTATCGCCGATAATTAAGAAGAAATTAAAAAGAAATCAAGAAGAAAAATTTTTTATTCTCCGAGATTTCTCAACTTTTCAAAAATTCCACAAATTCTTTCGTCAGCTCAAATCAAAATAAAATCAATCAAATAAAAATTAAAATCAAATAAAAATTAAATAAAAAAATAAATTTAAAATAAAAATTAAATTTTAAATAAAAGAATTAAATAAAAATTTTATATATTTTTTAAATATATAATAATTAATATATTAATTAAATAACAATATATATATAACAATTTAATAATTTAATAATATAATAATATAATCTTTTTAATAATAATATAATAATATAATAATACAATTAAAAAATATAATAATAATAAATATACATTAAATAATATAATAATATTTTAAAATATAATTTTAAATTATATCGAAAAATTTCGATGACATCTAGTTTCGTGGACACTTGTCTAAAATGAAGAGAGAGATCTAAAGGTATATTTACACTTGACGTGGCTCGAGAATTTATGGGGAAAATTTTCGACACAGGTTTACACGTCGTAAAACGGATTTCGGTATAAATCGCGCATTCTATAAAAGTCCGAGTCGGTTCTATCCGATCGCCGGCTGCACCAATTTATGGGCGTACCGTGCGAAAGTTCGCATTCGCTTCTTCGCGTAATGTTACACCGATCCGCGGTCGTAATCCAACACACAGTCGCGTCCGTAAATCATCGCGGACGCAATAACACGAATAGAAACACGGGATTGTGCACTGACATTAGTGCGCTAAATGATAGAGGCTCGCCATTTGCGCTCGCGTTCCTAACGAAATCCGCAGATAATCCGATCGTGACGCGATAATCGATAATCTCTCCAACGATAAATATCGAAAACGAGACATCCGTGAGACGAAACACGAACAATTGTCGCCCATCAGCTGATTGCTCCGTGAATCGCGAATCCCCCCCTCTTAAACTTGAACGGTCTTTAAACGGCCGTTTAAATCTGAAATTAAACACAAAGCTTACGTCGAGGTAAGCACGACGCAGTTGATAATTATCAACCGCAAATTGCAACACGCGTGCAGCTGGGAAGCTTGTTTGTTTACAATCTCGCGAGGGAATTATCGAAAGGACACACGGCGCGATGCAAATTACGCGCAAATATGCGCCGTGCTTGAGAAAAGACGTTAGGGAAACAAGTTAGGGTATAAATAACTACCTACGCGGCGTATTAATAATTAATATGAGATTATATCGCGTGAGATATATCATTTTTTTTTACTCAGATTACTCGTCGAGAAGTACATTAGACGACAATGTTGAAAACGCAGATTCAATCTCTGGTCGCCTGTTATTCATATTTAATCTCCGTAATTAATTCCAACTTTACTTTTTTCATCAAAGAATTAATTTCTTGAGATATTAGAATACAGGTCGTTATATTTCATGGCAGAAATTTCATCGAGAACGCGAAGATGAGATGGAGAGCGATTGATAAAGGGAGTTGTTGATTTAAAAAAAAAAGGATTCGGACAGGGTAAGTCGATGCACCCTGTCCCTGTCCCTGATCCCCCTATTACACCTCTACGCACCTGCACCTGTCGCCCACGCACTTTACCTTTCACTAATACTTTCTCTATCGCGCTTTTGCGTCGTCCGACAAATTGCATCCGCACTCGTGAAAAATATGATGCACGCTTGTATGAATGAATTCGCGAAAAAGTTAACATTATCAAGATATTCCGCTGCCTTCCGATTATTTTCGATTATTTTATATACGAAATATATCGATTGTATCGACGTTTAGAAACAAATTAGTTGCCTGCAGCTCAAGTTAATTGACATTTGGATATTTAATTTTTTATTTAATTAATTTTTTATTTAATTTTTATTTTATTAATTTTTTATTTTTTATTTAATTTTTATTTTATTAATTTTTTATTTTTTATTTAATTTTTTATGTTACTGACTTGGATATTTAATTTTTTATTTAATTAAGCGACAGTTGGCCTTATGAGGTAAGAAGACAGAGAGAGAGAGACGTTCAGGATATTTGGTAAGTGTTATTGAGAATGATATTCGAATAGCCCGAAAAGGAATGTCCCTTAAGGACGTGTCTTTATACCTCGTGCGAGACACCTTATGAAATTTCCACGTTCCCAGCGTGTCCGGACTGTAAGAGTCGCTGCAGCCCAGCTGGCCTAGAGAGCAAAGCAAACCCTTGCTGTCTCTCCTCCATCGTTTCTCGCGCATGCAACCCCTCTCTGCGCATCTCAAGAGCACGCCTCCCCCCTTGGGATTCTTCCCGAAGTTATCGAGATTTCGAGCGCGACACGTGGGCCAGGAGATGCCACTGGCTTTGCGTTCCACAAGTTCCAACATCCTCCGAAATATCCAAACGTTTCTAATTGAGCACCAGTTTTCGAATACGTATAATTATCTTTTTCCTGACCAAAATTACTCGTCGAGGCTTAATTTCATTCAGTCCTCCTGTTGATCGGTTCCTGACAATTTTCAAAAATGCACAATCAAGGTTTTCGTCCAACAAATATGTCTTCAAGTTCGTCTTTCACTCTTCAGTTATTTTTTCGAAATTTAATAATGTATAATTTAATTTCAAGCTCAATTTAAATTCAAGCTTTCCCTCATTTATCTCGAATTTTTTTCTCTGCAAATGCACGTACAATTTTTTTTTTTTTAAACTGATCTATGTTTGAAATGTGTTCTAAAATAAAGAGCAGCGTATTGATCCCCAGGACAGTTTAAATGTTTCATCGCGATGGCGATTTACTCGCTGTCAATTATTTTTATATACTTTTCCGTATAATATGGTTCTCTCTCGGCTACGAAGATCACATATCTCCAACGTAATATTCACGGTAAGACGAGTAGGAAAATGAGAGAGCCAAGAGTAATTGCAGAAGTCATAACGAAGACGTGACTGCAGCAAAATAAATAAAAAAAAAAAACGGAGATAAATATTTCAATGTAAAATACTACATTAATCGAAGCTCTCCATTCATCATCGCGACGAAAGAATGATTAAAAAAGTCATAATTTTTGGCTTTAACACGTGAAATAATCGTCCCCTTTCGAGAGCGATTACATTACGAATTTATAAATTTCCGATACATTTCCGGTGCCAGCGTCGAATCAGCGGTAACTTGAGCATACATATATTACGTTGATATAACACGACGCGTATTCCTTTCTACTCCATTTTTCACAGTAACACTGGCATTTTGCCCGGGCGCAATTGCGGCGCGTTGCGGATCGGACATGACGTCAATTCTCTCGCGTCTAAAGTCGACTCGCGAAAAATGAAATATGCATCCCCCGCGGCACTTTGGCTCGTTGCCTGAATTATCGAGAACCCATCCCCACGGGCATCCGTGTCGCGCCCATCGATGACTTTCATTCACTGCTGACGCGTCCGCACTCGCAGCCCAACGGAAACTGATCGCCTCGCCAGCGAGGGACAGGACAACCTGCCGTTCTTCTCTCTCGGCGAGCCTGTCTTTTTCTCTGGCGTGTGTGTGTGTCCCTTTTCCCGTGTGTCTGTGCGTGGGACGCATCGATAATTCTCATGGACCATGTGTCGCAAACGATTCCGGTATCTCTACGCGACGCAGACGGCTTGGGGCCGCGAGACAAGTTTATTAAATGTGCCACAAGTCGGCAAATTTTTACGCCTGTGGACAGATATTTGTGGCAGTATGATTTTATTCGCGAATGATTTTATCGCAAACTAATTCCGCAGAAAATTAAACCACTATTCATTTTGCAGGCTGATCTGTCAGTTTGTATATTACTCTTATCCTTGCTGTTAGAATTTGTTGAAATTTCTCGTTGTATCAACGTCGCTTAATGTGAGATTGCATAAATTTAGTTTCCACACTGAGAGAAAAATCTGGTTGCATTAATTAGAATTCTGGTAGATTCAACCAGTATGTCTGTTGGAAAATGGACGAACCAGAATTCTTGTAAGAATTACCAGATGAATCTGATTAATTTCTTCCCGTTAAGTTTACCAAATTTTCTGGTTAATAATATTAAACTCACGAGCATCAAGTCGTCTAAAATTTTTTCCATCTAATCTCAAAAGTCTGTTTAATATTCTGAATTCCAACAAGATTATTGGATAAATTTAATCCAGATTATTGAATAAATTATTTTAAGTTCAGTTTGTTAGAAATTAAACTGATGCAAGAAGAGGATGAAGCTCAAACACACACAATCAGAGAGTTAGCGTCCTCTTTCTGGCACTATTGTTCGTAAAAGAAAAAAAATATACTTTGGATATTTCATGGCAAATATTGAATACGTTAGGTTAAGAGGGGCAAGCAAAGAAGTTAATGCAACGAGAAATTTTATAGATTCAACCAGAAACTAACAAAATCCTTATTATTAGTAAAATCTATTAAACGTTCTAAAGTTATAAAAAATCTAGTCTTATCATGATAATTAGAAATTCTTGTTTGATTTAACCAAAATTCCTTCAATCATATACGTCTTATTGGTACAATCAAATGATTTTTCTCAGTGTGTGGACAGATATTTGTGGCAGCCAGAATGATTTTATTCGCAAATGATTTTATCGCAAACTAATTCCGCAGAAAATTAAACCTCCATTCATTTTGCTTCTGTCAGTTTGTATATTACTCTTATCCTTGAAGTCACATTGAGAAAAATCGTTTGATTGTATCAACAAGACGTATATGATTGAAGACATTTTGATTAAATCAAACAAGAATTTCTAGTTATCATGATAAAACTCGATGTTTTATAACTAGAACGTTTAATAGATTTTACTATAAGGACTTGATTAGTATTTTCTGGTTGAATCTATAAAATTTCTTGTTGCATTAGCTTCTTTGCTTGCCCCTAGGCGAGCCATTCTTAACTTTACTCGTATTAAATATTTGTCATGAAATATAAAGAACTAGTGTTAACATTAAATCCAAAATATATTTTTTTCTCTTACGAACAGTAGTGCCAGAAAGAAGACGCTAAGCTCTCTGATTGTGTGTGTTTGAGCTGCATCTTTTTCTTGCATCATTGTTTATCAGTTTAATTTCTAACAAACTGAATTTAAAATAATTTATTCAATAATGTTTAAGTTCAGTTTATTAGAAATTAAACTGATAAACAGTGATGCAAGAAGAGGATGCAGCTCAAAGACACACAATCAGAGAGCTAGCGTCCTCTTTCTGGCACTATTGTTCGTAAAAGAAAAAAAATATACTTTGGATTTAATGTTAATACTAATTCTTATACATTTCATGGCAAATATTGAATACGAGTTAAGTTAACTGGATTGAATTTATGCAATAATCTTGTTGGAATTCAGAATATTCAACAGACTTTTGAGATTAGATGGAAAAAATTTTAGACGACTTGGTGCTGGCGAGTTTAGTATTATTAACCAGAAAATTTGGTAAATTTAACAGGAAGAAATTAATCAAATTTATTTGGTAATTCCTAGAAGAATTCTGGTTCGTCCATTTTCCAACAGACATACTGGTTGAATCTACTAGAATTCTGATTAACGCAACCAGATTTTTTTTTCAGTGCAGAGTTTGTTGAAATTTCTTCGTTGTATAACGTCGCTTAATGTGAGATTACATAAATTTATTTTCCACTGAGAGATTTAAATATTTTATTAGTACATATTTTTCCATCTATTTAAATATATTATTATTCTCTCTGATGTCAAAAGTATTCGAGTTGCGAAACTCACATCGATACCTCTCGCCATTATTTCACCGCTATATTTCGCAAACGTGTTGTTGGACGAGGTCGTTCACCCATACGTGTCTGGAAACTCCAGGTACCTTTGATATGACATCACATCAAGTGGTTATCTTGTTGGCGCAGCCTTGACATCGGAGCTGCGACTATCGTGTTACCTCAACTGTATATTTTTATTCTTTCATCAAAGGAAATAACAATTCGTGTCTCTCTCTACGCGTTTGTATAAATTTCGAGAGCGTCGACAATCGCTAAGGAAATAACGGGCGTTAAAAGTCATGCGCGGTTTAATCGATCGAAACGCGTTCCACGTGCAAATTTGCAACGTGTTTTTGTCGGGATGTTCTAATTCACGCAGCCGAAGCAAACACCGGCTCGTCTCACGGACGGAAGTACTTATTTTAATCATCGCCACCCTCAACCGTAGCCGAGCTTATTTTTTTCACTCGCCTACGAGTTTGTCGCGATCGTTTGTCATACAAATTATATTGCATATATGGCTTGATTCTAAAAATATCAATGTTAAATGTACATTATTCTAATCTTCAAGATAAAATTTAAAAAAGCGTACTTATGATAATTGAGATGTCCCAATAATGGAACGTTGACCCTTTCAGAAAATTGAGCCAGAGAGATGTAATTTTTCAGTCATTACGTCTCTCATTTTATTCTCCCGTTTTTTCCCCTTTTTCATCATTTTCTCTCTTTGTGGCTGTTTGGCATCGCTCGAAAGCAAAAAGAAATAACGTGAAAAGCGAGTTTATAGAGAGGTTTACGTATTTACGTATTCATAACGCCGTGTTATTTATCGTGCGTCTATTTAGATACTCTCGTAAGGATGTAAAGAGAGTAAAAATATCTTCCCGATACGAGCGTGCAATTTAGATACGCCGTCGATCAAAGGTACATTTACCTTTGGAATAATAAGTTGCGTTCGCGGAATGTCTGCTGGATTCGCTTATATATTGACCGATTATATTTATACGCCTGAGTCTGGATATGAAGCGCATATCAAACAGCGGGGAGAGACATTGCGTCGTAACGACTTTTCGCCTACGATCGCCTGCGTTCTTCGAAATCGCCGGAGAAATCGAGACCTCCGGAGTCAAGAGACCTCTTTGTGCCTCGAAACACTCGGCGAGTTTTCGCAATAACGAGGAATATCGATACGCAATTTAAACAAACAATCCTCGGCGACGCTTTTCGCGATAACATTTTTTTATTCGAATAATTAATAAAGTCCAGAATATCGGAGTTATTACGGTTATTCCCACCTGCGAATCGCTACAGCTTCGATATTCGAAGGACGAGGATCCTCCCGAGGGGAGTCTTGAAATACGACTTTGCTGAGAGCATCGCGCTTAATCCTGAATTACGACAATTTTGCGAGATGAAGAGATACGCGCGCGAACGAAACGGCCAAGAGACGAAAGGATTACGCACGAGAGAGCTCGAGAGGAAAAACGCGATCGATCCGAGGCGCGATTTTTCTGGATTCTACATCGCGATTCCGATTATCGAAAGCGACGCAATTCTATATCTATAGCAACGCGTATGAATCCGGTTGGAACCGCTCAAACGACCCGACCTAAATTCCAATTACATGATACACGTCGAGAAATTCGTGGTCGAATTCCGATTTATCGTCAATTATTGATGGAACGAGGATCGATAATAAATCTAGCAAGATTTATGTGTCAATATGTAAAGAATAATATACAGGGTGTCGGAGCAATCTCTTGCCAAAAAGAGCTCTTGCAGCTTACCTCGAGAAAAAATATGTAATTTGTAATTAACAATTATATTTTTTTTTTCGGAACAATCGTATGTTATCTTTACACCGATTGATTCCTCTCATTATTTTGTACATAAAAGTATTAGGATAAGATAATCGAAAAATGAATATTTTACTAGATATTTTATGGTTTATGTAAAATTTAAGAAATTATTTCAACTCATCACTCGATGAAAAAATACTTTATTGTAATGTTTTGAAAAGCTCTCGAGAGCTACAAGAGCTTTTTTGGGAAGAGATTGCCTTGACACTCTGTATAAAGAAAAATATGGAAAAATATGAAGTTTATTTTTTACTAAAAATACTACTAGTGATTAATATTGCAAGAGAAAATATTTAAAATGGAGATGATATATAGGCACAAAAGATTCAAAGAAATACTTTAAATAACGAACATATTAACATTTTATGCTGATGTGAGGCGAGTAAGATTGACGGAACAATAACGAGAATATTAATCGAGGGACTCGATTTTCCTTTTTATAATCTGAAAAATGATCGAACAATAGATAGACACTATTCTCGCACATAGTAATCGTAAAGAACGATTTCGATTATGCAATGCAATGCAAAACAATGAGTCGTTAAAACAAGGTGCAGCTAACGTAAACGTCATCGCAACAATCCTTGTGCTCTCATAGTCTCATCATTACGTAAACAATTGTTCAAGCGCATCGCAAAGATACCATTAGCTGTAATCGCGGTGCATTCTAAAAAAAAAATTTTTTTTCAAATTGTTTAACATCCTAAAAAAAAATTTTTTTTTTCAAATTTTTTAACATCCTAAAAAAATTTTTGTTTCAAATTTTTTAACTTTATGCTTTCGCGCAATTTCGCGGTACATCTCATCTTCTTGAAAATATTTTATATTATTATATCCATTTTAATTAATATTCACGAGTGCCACGAGATTCATTATATTTGTAAAAATTGTGCCGACAAGCAGCCTTGCGTATCGTGAAAACTAACCGCTAAAATATGTGATTCGGATAGTCTTGATGATGAAAGATCGGAATTCGACGCAGCATCCCGATGGAATGCGCCACGGAAACGATCGCCAATTTCTTTATCCATTCGGAGTGTCAGCCCGATGACAGTTCGATTGTCACCGATGACGACACATTCCGATTCGTGATGCATAATAGCGCGGAAAATTTCAATGGCAATTGCGAGAAGAGGAAATATATCGAGCGTGCTTTGTTCGCCAACAATACGAACGAAACATGAAATAAATAAAGGAAAAATCAAGGAGATAAAAGAAGCATCTCGGCGATTTTGGCGAAGCGTTACATTCGCCGGCAATTAATTCGAGCCCGTACACGAGCTGTAAAATCGAAGGCCGATGTTCCGCAAAGATTGTTCGA